TAATTGCAGTTTCCGGGTCACCTTCAAAGGTAGCCCCACACAGAGCGTATGGCAGTAGTCCAAGAGGGAGATAACCAGGGCATGCACCACTGTGGCCAGACAGTCTGCGGGCAGGTAGGGTCTCATCCTGCGTACCCGATGGAGCTGGTAAACAGCTGCCCTGGACACAGAATGGACCTGCGGCCTCCATGGACAGCTGTGAGTCCAAAATGACCCCCAGGCTGCGCACCTGGTCCTTCAGGGGCACAGTTGCCCCATTCAGGACCAGGGAGTCCCCCACCCCTGCCCACCTCCTGTCTGTCATGTGACAAAGACACCTGAGAGCCGAAGCAGCAAAGCAGGCTGGGAAGTGCTGGAACTGCACAGTCATTTGGGCCTCCTAAAGTTATTCAGGCCTAACTGCTAATTGTTGAGTCATTCTGAGTCATGTGACTTAGCAGCCACTTTCACTTTGTACTACAGTGGTGCCTCGCAAGACGAAAAGAATCCGTTCCGCGAGTCTCTTCGTCTTGCGAAGCAAGCCCATTAGCGGTTTAGCGGATTAGCGCTACAGTATTAGCGGCTTAGCGGGCTTAGCGGATCAGCTGATAAGCGGCTTAAGGATCAGCTGATAAGCGGTTTAGCCATCAGCTGATAAGCGGTTTAGCGGCTTGGGAAAAGGGGGGGGGAGGAAAAAAACCCCGCAGGAACTCGCAAGACATTTTCGTCTTGCGAAGCAAGCACATAGGAAATTCGTTTTGCAAAGCACCTCCAAAACGGAAAACCCTTTCGTCTAGCGGGTTTTCCGTCTTGCGAGGCATTCGTCTTGCGGGGCACCACTGTACTCTGTAAAATGTCACTGAGAATCTGTCTGCCTCAGTTGTGAACAGAGTCAGTACGTCATCTCAGTCAGACTGTTTGGAACCATGTTGTTTAGGAAGAAGTTTATTTTAACTCAGTAAAGCTTTTATTCTTTAAAACTCTGCATTATTAATTTACGCTGCGTGTCACTGTCCCCCCAAAACAGTACAGTGGTACCTCAGGTTACAGACGCTTCAGGTTACAGACTCCGCTAACCCAGAAATAGTGCTTCAGGTTAAGAACTTTGCTTCAGGATGAGAACAGAAATCGTGTGGCAGAAGCGAGAGGCCCCATTAGCTAAAGTGGTGCTTCAGGTTAAGAACAGTTTCAGGTTAAGAACAGGCCTCCGGAACGAATTAAGTTCTTAACCTGAGGTACCACTGTACTACTACTATTACAGTGGTACCTCGGGTTACATATACTTCAGGTTACATACGCTTCATGTTACATACACTTCAGGTTACAGACTCCGCTAACCCAGAAATAGTACCTCGGGTTAAGAACTTTGCTTCAGGATGAGAACAGAAATCGTGTGGCAGCGCCGGGAGGCCCCATTAGCTAAAGTGGTGCTTCAGGTTAAGAACAGTTTCAGGTTAAGTACGGACCTCTGGAATGAATTAAGTACTTAACCCGAGGTACCACTGTACTTCTGTCTTGTCAGGATTCAACCTCAATCTGTTAGATCCATATTTGGGGTGGGAAGGGAGAAATATAAGCTGCAGAGAGATTCCTGGGTAGCCGGGCCAAGCGAGGGCCATTAAGGGAACAATAGAGGGCCGCTGAGGGTTGTTGCCAGTGCAAGAAAACTCCCCCCATCTGCCCTGAGGTGTGAAGAGACAGAGGGGTTTGAAGGGTGATGGGGGGTGTTTTTGAGCCAGGGTTCTGGGAAGAAGGAGGAGGAGGAGAAAATGAGAGGCATCCATCTTTTGGGGGACTGAAGGTCTGCCTCTGGAAATGACTAGGCCGCAAGATCTGGACTCCTTCCATGCAGACTGAAGGGGCTCTTGCCGCTGCTTGGCAGAGAGGAAGACAGACACCCAAGTTTTGTAAAAGTATCAATTTAATTTAATTAATGGAATTTAATTAATTCCAATTTAATTAATGGAATATGCAGAACTTGATAAACTAACAGGAAGGATCCGGAACCGACGAGACCAGAAATTCACAGAAGACTGGAATAAATTTACAGATAATATGAAAAGTATATGTGATGATCAGGTAACGTTTGTAAGCTTTCAGGAAGTTCTGTGAAAATGTACAGTAGAAATATTGTTTAAAAAATAAGATAAAATAAGATATTAATGTAGTGCAATATTAAGTTAAGAAATGTGGAAGAAGTGAGTAAAACGGAGAATTATCAGACATGCTGATGGAAGTCCAGAAAGAGGATGTTGGTGATAAATTGGATGTTTTGTTTTGTACAATTTTATATTGGAAAATTAATTAAAAAATTAAATTCCAAAAAAAAAAAAAGTTTTGTAAAAGTATCAGACAGGTACTTCCTATTAAGGACAGTGAACCTGTGAATTTTCTCGACCTCTGTGAAATTCCATGCACACTGACGGCACCATGTTTACAAGCAAGCAAATGTAAAACCAGTTGTGGACATAGTGTATCTTGATTTCAGTAAGGCTTTTGACAAAGTCCCCCATGATATTTTCACGAGGAAATGAGATGAAAAAGATGTTGAAATACACATTTATTAAGAAACCAGAAGCATTTTTACTCGGCATTGTAAGAGATGATATCAATAGACAGGATTGTAAGTTGTTTTTACATGCAATGACAGCAGCAAGAATATTATTGGCACAAAAATGGAAGCAAGAAGAATTACCGACGAAAGAAGAATGGCGGATGAAATTGATGGGCTATGAAGAATTGGATAAATTAACAGGAAGGATTCGAAACCTGCAGGACCAGAGATTCATAGAAGACCGGGGTAAATATACGAACTATTTGAAAAGTAGTAGTAATGAACAGATTACATTAGTAGGATTGCAAGAAGTTTTGTAAGGATGATTATTCGAAATATTGCAAAAAAGACTATGAGGAGAACTATTAGTTAATGATAATGAAGAGTAATAGAAAAATAAAGAAATGCAGAGTAAGTGATAAAGAATGAAAAATCATCAGAGGCATTGACCGAAGTCTAAAATATTGTATAAGATAAGAAGTTAGGTTATATGATTGTGGGAATTGATATGTTAAAAAAAGCAATAAAAATGTATATATAAAAAAAGATATTCTCACGAGGAAGTTGGTAAAATGTGGGTTTAATGAGGTAACTGTTAGATGGATTTGTAGCTGGTTGAGTAACTGAACCCAGAGAGTACCCATTAATTGTTCCTCGTCATACTGGGGAAAAGTGACAAGTGGGGTGCCACAGGGTTCTGTCCTGGGCCTGTTGTTCAACATCTTTATAAATGACTTGGATGAAGGAATTGAGGAGACGCTCATCAAAATTGCAGGTGACACCAAACTGGGAGGGGTAGCTAATGCCACAGAAGACAGAATCAGGATTCAAGATGACCTCAACAGATTGGAGAACTGGGCTCAAGCTAACAAAATGAATAGGGACAAATGTACGGTTCTGCACTTAGGAAGAACCAGATGCACAAATATAGGATGGGGGACACCTGGCTTAATAGTAATACATGTGAAAAAGATCTAGGGGCCTTGGTTGACCACAAGCTGAACATGAGTCAACAGGGTGATGCAGCAGCAAAAAAAGCTAATGCTATTCTAGAATGCGTCATAGCGTCATAGAATAATAGAACTGTGGAGATGGAACGGACCCTTAGGGTCATCTAGTACAACACCCGGCAATGCAGGAATATACAGTTGTCCCATATGGGGCTCAGACCTGCAACCTTGACATTGTCAGCACCATGCTCTAACCAACTCCGGGCAGTACAGTGTCAATATCAAGGGAAGTAGTAGTACCACTCTATTCTGCCTTAGTCAGACCACACTTGGAATACTGTGTCCAATTCTGGGCACCACAATTTAAGAAGGATGTTGACATGCTGGAATGTGTGCAGAGGAGGGAAACCAAGATGACCAAGGGTCTGGAAACCAAGCCTTACGAGGAACAGCTGAAGGAGCTGGGGATGTTTAGCCTGGGAAAGAGGAGACTGAGAGAAGGTATGATAGCCATCTTCAAATATCTCAAGGGCTGCCACATGGAAGAGGGAGAAGCTTGTTTTCTCCTGCTCCGGGGGGGGGGGTAGGACTCGAACCCATGGCTTCAAGTTACAAGAAAGGAGATTCCGACTAAACATTCGGAAAACTTTCTGACAGTGAGAGTTGTTTGACAGTGGAACAGGCTCCCACAGGAGGTGGTGGACTCTCCTTCCTTTGAGGTTTTTAAACAGAGGTTGAAATGGAAAGCATCTGTCGGGGGTGCTTTACCCTTGGAGTCCCTTTCAACTCTAGAATTCTATTAAAGCAAAGACATCACTGTGGAGCCAAATTCATACATATGAACATTTTGAGGTGCTAAAGAGAATCTGGTTACGTGATCCAGCCAATAAGGCAGGGGTCAGCAAACTTTTTCAACAGGGGGCCGGCCCACTGTCCCTCAGACCTTGTGGGGGGGGCGGACTATATTTGGGGGGGGGTGAATGAATTCCTATGCCCCACAAATAACCCAGAGATGCATTTTAAATAAAAGGACACATTCTACTCATGTAAAAACACGCTGATTCCCAGATCATCCGTGGGCGGGATTTAGAAGGCGATTGGACCGGATCTGGCCCCCGGGCCTTAGTTTGCCTACCCATGAAATAAGGAATCATGGAAGCAGCATAGTGTTGTCACAGAGCTGTGTGGCTTGTCAGATTATGCTTTGTGGTGATCCTGCGTCCCCCTGGTCCTCCTTCAAGAAGACTTCAGGTTTAGCCTGACCATGCCTTCCTCATTCCACCCCTTTCTCATTTTCAGAATTCCACCATGCAATTCCTGCAAATCCCAGTGGGAACTAAATATGTGGGCCACAATATGTTGTAATTATCCTTTATCTCCAAACTATAATCCTCAGTACTGTACATATATATATATATAAAGAAAATCCAAACCTACCCGGAATCTCTACTGTAGCTGATGAAACTGCTGTCCTCGCAGAGGGAGATGTCGCAGTCAGGAGGGAGATGGTTGTCTCTTCAAATGAGATCCCCTTCGTTCTCTCTGGGACAGAGCTTGGGACCTTTTTGGCTGAGGTGACCTCTGTGGCTAATGGTGTAGTAGACAGCAAAGGAGTCATCTTTGCAGAGACCATTGCTGTAGTTGTGGGAGATGTGGGTGTCTTGGTGGTAGTCCTCACAGTCTGGATAATTGGAGATGCCTCCAGCCCAGTGAATGTAGCAGCACTTGTACTCTTGGCTGTTGATGCCAGGCGAGAAGACGTCTCTTCGGTGGGTATTTCCTCCATACGCTGAGAGGGAGCAAAGACAGAAGAAGATGACTCAGCTCCACTTGACGTTGCCACTCTCCTCTCCACGGGAAATGTAGTCTGGTGAGCAGTGGTGGTCCCTTCAGCTGATCTGGACACCGTACTGAAGAGGGAAGTGTGTGTCATTTCAGTTGATGCTAACTTAGAACTCTCTGTGGGAGATAATGCAGCGAAGAGAGAAGAGGATGTATTGGCTGTGGTTGACGTGAGTGCTGTACTCTCAACGGTGGATTTTTTAGAAAGGAGAGAAGTTGGCACCTCTGTACTATCAGTGGAAGGGTTAGAAGATGCCTCTTCCTGCGACTGTGCTTTGTCAGTGTCTGCTGAAGGCCCAGTGGAATGCTGAGGAATCGATGTCTTCACTTCTGTTGGTGTGTCAGGGGGAAACGCTGAAGTCATGGGAGAAATGGTTGAGGCTGTCTCTGAAGTTAGCTGCTTCCCCTCAGATGGTGTCACTTCAGTCATTAGAGAGGTAGTTGGGCCTTCAGCTGATGTTAACATGGTCATTGGTGGGGGAGATGTTACAAACAGAGGGTGAGTGATATCCATCCCAGCTGATGTTAACTCTGCCCCCTCATGTAGAGGGATAGTGCTCAGGACAGAAGAGGTTGGCTCTCCAGCTAAGGTGGACACTGTCCTATCAGAAGGAGATGCTGTCAACCGGAGGGAAGGGGGCGTCTCTACTTCTGTTGGTGAGACCCATTTACTCCCCGTGAAAGAACTCATGGAAAGGGGAGACGTGTCTGTCTCTTGAGAAGACGTTACCTCTGTGCTCTCAATGGGAAGAGTTGTAGAAAGTGGGAAATGGGATATCTCACCATGTGATGGTATCTCTGTAATAACGCGAGTAGAATGAAGATAACTGGATGTCTTTGCTCCTGTTGTTGCTGATACTACCTCAGTACTTGGAGGCAGGCTTCTGAGAGACGGTGTAGGTGAGGACGTCCCTCCAACTAATGCTATCCCTGTCTTCCCAATGTTAGTGGTTGTAGTCAAAGGAGAAGCAACGGCCTCTTCTGGTGATGAGGACAAAACCTTCACATTGGAAGATGGAGTCAGAAGGGTAGTGGTTGACTTTTCTGCCAAATCTGTTTTCTCCAGTGGGACAGTAGTGATTCTATCTGTACTTGTTGGTGATGGGGCACTTTCTTCAGCTGAGGTCCCCTCTCCGCTCTTGGGGGATGTACCTGGAATAGACTGAGAAATCGTTGTTTCAGCTGCCGTTTTTCCCGTTTCGATAACTGAAGTTGTTGGAGGTGGGCTTGACGTCTCCTCTCTGCTCTCTGTAGGGGTTCCGCTACTTATTGGTGATGGGGCACTTTCTTCAGCTGAGGTCCCCTCTCCGCTCTTGGGGGATGTACCTGGAGTAGGGTGAGAAATCGTTGTTCCAGCTGCCGTTTTTCCCGTTTCGATAACTGAAGTTGTTGGAGGTGGCCCTGACGTCTCCTCTCTGCTCTCTGTAGGGGTTCCGCTACTTGTTGATGATGGGGCACTTTCTTCAGCTGAGGTCCCCTCTCCGCTCTTGGGGGATGTACCTGGAGTAGAGTGAGAAATCGTTGTTTCAGCTGCCATCTTTCCCGTTTTGATAACTGAAGTTGTTGGAGTTGGGCTTGACGTCTCCTCTCTGCTCTCTGTAGGGGTTCCGCTACTTGTTGATGATGGGGCACTTTCTTCAGCTGAGGTCCCCTCTCCGATCTTGGTGGATGTACCTGGAGTAGGGTGAGAAATCATTGTTTCAGCTGCCGTCTTTCCCGTTTCGATAACTGAAGTTGTTGGAGGTGGCCCTGACGTCTCCTCTCTGCTCTCTGTAGGGGTTCCGCTACTTGTTGATGATGGGGCACTTTCTTCAGCTGAGGTCCCCTCTCCGCTCTTGGTGGATGTTCCTGGAGTAGAGTAAGAAATAGTTTTTTCAGTTGCCGTCTTTCCCGTTTCGATAACTGAAGTTGTTGGAGGTGGCCCTGACGTCTCCTCTCTGCTCTCTGTAGGGGTTCCGCTACTTGTTGATGATGGGGCACTTTCTTCAGCTGAGGTCCCCTCTCTGCTCTTGGTGGATGTACCTGGAGTAGAGTGAGAAATCGTTTTCTCAGCTGCCGTCTTTCCTGTTTCGATAACTGATGTTGTTGGAGGTGGGCTTGAGGTCTCCTCTCTGCTCTCTTTAGGGGTTCCTCTACTTATTGGTGATGGGGCACTTTCTTCAGCTGAGGTCCCCTCTCCGCTCTTGGTGGATGTACCAGGAGTAGAGTGAGAAATCGTTTTTTCAGATCCCGTCTTTCCCGTTTCGATAACTGATGTTGTTGGAGGTGGGCTTGAGGTCTCCTCTCTGCTCTCTGTAGGGGTTCCGCTACTTGTTGATGATGGGGCACTTTCCTCAGCTGAGGTCCCCTCTCCGCTCTTGGTGGATGTACCTGGAGTAGAGTGAGAAATCGTTGTTTCAGCTGCCGTCTTTCCCGTTTCGATAACTGAAGTTGTTGGAGGTGGGCTTGAGCGTCTCGTCTCTGCTCTCTGTAGGGGTTCCGCTACTTGTTGATGATGGGGCACTTTCTTCAGCTGAGGTCCCCTCTCCGCTCTTGGTGGATGTACCTGGAGTAGAGTGAGAAATCGTTGTTTCAGCTGCCGTCTTTCCCGTTTCGATAACTGAAGTTGTTGGAGGTGGGCTTGAGGTCTCCTCTCTGCTCTCTGTAGGGGTTCCGCTACTTGTTGATGATGGGGCAGTTTCCTCAGCTGAGGTCCCCTCTCCGCTCTTGGTGGATGTACCTGGAGTAGAGTGAGAAATCGTTGTTTCAGCTGCCGTCTTTCCCGTTTCGATAACTGAAGTTGTTGGAGGTGGGCTTGAGGTCTCCTCTCTGCTCTCTGTAGGGGTTCCGCTACTTGTTGATGATGGGGCACTTTCTTCAGCTGAGGTCCCCTCTACGTTCTTGGTGGATGTACCTGGAGTAGAGTGAGAAATCGTTTTCTCAGCTGCCGTCTTTCCTGTTTCGATAACTGATGTTGTTGGAGGTGGGCTTGAGGTCTCCTCTCTGCTCTCTGTAGGGGTTCCGCTACTTGTTGATGATGGGGCACTTTCCTCAGCTGAGGTCCCCTCTCCGCTCTTGGTGGATGTACCTGGAGTAGAGTGAGAAATCGTTGTTTCAGCTGCCGTCTTTCCCGTTTCGATAACTGAAGTTGTTGGAGGTGGGCTTGAGGTCTCCTCTCTGCTCTCTGTAGGGGTTCCGCTACTTGTTGATGATGGGGCACTTTCTTCAGCTGAGGTCCCCTCTCCGCTCTTGGTGGATGTACCTGGAGTAGAGTGAGAAATCGTTGTTTCAGCTGCCGTCTTTCCCGTTTCGATAACTGAAGTTGTTGGAGGTGGGCTTGATGTCTCCTCTCTACTCTCTGTAGGGGTTCCACTACTTGTTGATGATGGGGCACTTTCTTCAGCTGAGGTCCCCTCTCCGCTCTTGGTGGATGTACCTGGAATAGGCTGGGAAATCGTTTTTTCATCTGCCGTCTTTCCCGTTTCAATAACTGAAATTGTTGGAGGTGGGCTTGAGGTCTCCTCTCTGCTCTCTGTAGGGGTTCCGCTACTTGTTGATGATGGGGCACTTTCATCAGCTGAGGTCCCCTCTCCGCTCTTGGTGGATGTACCTGGAGTAGAGTGAGAAATCGTTGTTTCAGCTGCCGTCTTTCCCGTTTCGATAACTGAAGTTGTTGGAGGTGGGCTTGACGTCTCCTCTCTGCTCTCTGTAGGGGTTCCGCTACTTGTTGATGATGGGGCACTTTCTTCAGCTGAGGTCCCCTCTCCGCTCTTGGTGGATGTACCTGGAGTAGAGTGAGAAATCGTTGTTTCAGCTGCCGTCTTTCCCGTTTCGATAACTGAAGTTGTTGGAGGTGGGCTTGACGTCTCCTCTCTGCTCTCTGTAGGGGTTCCGCTACTTGTTGATGATGGGGCACTTTCTTCAGCTGAGGTGCCCTCTCCGCTCTTGGGGGATGTAACTGGAGTAGAGTGAGAAATCATTGTTTCAGCTACCGTCTTTCCTGTTTCGATAACTGAAGTTGTTGGAGGTGGGTTTGAGGTCTCCTCTCTGCTCTCTGTAGGGGTTCCGCTACTTGTTGATGATGGGGCACTTTCCTCAGCTGAGGTCCCCTCTCCGCTCTTGGTGGATGTACCTGTAGTAGGCTGAGAAATCGTTGTTTCAGCTGCCGTCTTTCCCGTTTCGATAACTGAAGTTGTTGGAGGTGGGCTTGACGTCTCCTCTCTGCTCTCTGTAGGGGTTCCGCTACTTGTTGATGATGGGGCACTTTCTTCAGCTGAGGTCCCCTCTCCGCTCTTGGTGGATGTACCTGGAGTAGAGTGAGAAATCGTTGTTTCAGCTGCCGTCTTTCCCGTTTCGATAACTGAAGTTGTTGGAGGTGGGCTTGAGGTCTCCTCTCTGCTCTCTGTAGGGGTTCCGCTACTTGTTGGTGATGGGGCACTTTCTTCAGCTGAGGTCCCCTCTCCGCTCTTGGTGGATGTACCTGGAGTAGAGTGAGAAATCGTTGTTTCAGCTGCCGTCTTTCCCGTTTCGATAACTGAAGTTGTTGGAGGTGGGCTTGACGTCTCCTCTCTGCTCTCTGTAGGGGTTCCGCTACTTGTTGATGATGGGGCACTTTCATCAGCTGAGGTCCCCTCTCCGCTCTTGGTGGATGTACCTGGAGTAGAGTGAGAAATCGTTGTTTCAGCTGCCGTCTTTCCCGTTTCGATAACTGAAGTTGTTGGAGGTGGGCTTGAGGTCTCCTCTCTGCTCTCTGTAGGGGTTCCGCTACTTGTTTGTGAGTGGGCACTTTCCTCAGCTGAGGTCCCCTCTCTGCGCTTGGTGGATGTACCTGGAGTAGAGCTGAGAAATCGTTGGTTCAGCTGCCGTCTTTCCCGTTTTGATAACTGAAGTTGTTGGAGGTGGGCTTGAGGTCTCCTCTCTGCTCTCTGTAGGGGTTCCGCTACTTGTTGATGATGGGGCACTTTCTTCAGCTGAGGTCCCCTCTCCGCTCTTGGTGGATGTACCTGGAGTAGAGTGAGAAATCGTTGTTTCAGCTGCCGTCTTTCCTGTTTCGATAACTGAAGTTGTTGGAGGTGGGCTTGAGGTCTCCTCTCTGCTCTCTGTAGGGGTTCCGCTACTTGTTGATGATGGGGCACTTTCTTCAGCTGAGGTCCCCTCTCCGCTCTTGGTGGATGTACCTGGAGTAGAGTGAGAAATCGTTGTTTCAGCTGCCGTCTTTCCCGTTTCGATAACTGAAGTTGTTGGAGGTGGGCTTGAGGTCTCCTCTCTGCTCTCTGTAGGGGTTCCGCTACTTGTTGATGATGGGGCACTTTCTTCAGCTGAGGTCCCCTCTCCGCTCTTGGTGGATGTACCTGGAGTAGAGTGAGAAATCGTTGTTTCAGCTGCCGTCTTTCCCGTTTCGATAACTGAAGTTGTTGGAGGTGGGCTTGAGGTCTCCTCTCTGCTCTCTGTAGGGGTTCCGCTACTTGTTGATGATGGGGCACTTTCTTCAGCTGAGGTCCCCTCTCCGCTCTTGGTGGATGTACCTGGAGTAGAGTGAGAAATCGTTGTTTCAGCTGCCGTCTTTCCCGTTTCGATAACTGAAGTTGTTGGAGGTGGGCTTGACGTCTCCTCTCTGCTCTCTGTAGGGGTTCCGCTACTTGTTGATGATGGGGCACTTTCTTCAGCTGAGGTCCCCTCTCCGCTCTTGGTGGATGTACCTGGAGTAGAGTGAGAAATCGTTGTTTCAGCTGCCGTCTTTCCCGTTTCGATAACTGAAGTTGTTGGAGGTGGGCTTGACGTCTCCTCTCTGCTCTCTGTAGGGGTTCCGCTACTTGTTGATGATGGGGCACTTTCTTCAGCTGAGGTCCCCTCTCCGCTCTTGGTGGATGTACCTGGAGTAGAGTGAGAAATCGTTTTCTCAGCTGAAGTCTTTCCCGTTTCAATAACTGAAGTTGTTGGAGGTGGGCTTGAGGTCTCCTCTCTGCTCTCTGTAGGGGTTCCGCTACTTGTTGATGATGGGGCACTTTCCTCAGCTGAGGTCCCCTCTCCGCTCTTGGTGGATGTACCTGGAGTAGAGTGAGAAATCGTTGTTTCAGCTGCCGTCTTTCCCGTTTCGATAACTGAAGTTGTTGGAGGTGGGCTTGACGTCTCCTCTCTGCTCTCTGTAGGGGTTCCGCTACTTGTTGATGATGGGGCACTTTCTTCAGCTGAGGTCCCCTCTCCGCTCTTGGTGGATGTACCTGGAGTAGAGTGAGAAATTGTTGTTTCAGCTGCCGTCTTTCCTGTTTCGATAACTGAAGTTGTTGGAGGTGGGCTTGAGGTCTCCTCTCTGCTCTCTGTAGGGGTTCCGCTACTTGTTGATGATGGGGCACTTTCTTCAGCTGAGGTCCCCTCTCCGCTCTTGGTGGATGTACCTGGAGTAGAGTGAGAAATCGTTGTTTCAGCTGCCGTCTTTCCCGTTTCGATAACTGAAGTTGTTGGAGGTGGGCTTGACGTCTCCTCTCTGCTCTCTGTAGGGGTTCCGCTACTTGTTGATGATGGGGCACTTTCTTCAGCTGAGGTCCCCTCTCCGCTCTTGGTGGATGTACCTGGAGTAGAGTGAGAAATCGTTGTTTCAGCTGCCGTCTTTCCCGTTTCGATAACTGAAGTTGTTGGAGGTGGGCTTGACGTCTCCTCTCTGCTCTCTGTAGGGGTTCCGCTACTTGTTGATGATGGGGCACTTTCTTCAGCTGAGGTCCCCTCTCCGCTCTTGGTGGATGTACCTGGAGTAGAGTGAGAAATCGTTGTTTCAGCTGCCGTCTTTCCTGTTTCGATAACTGAAGTTGTTGGAGGTGGGCTTGAGGTCTCCTCTCTGCTCTCTGTAGGGGTTCCGCTACTTGTTGATGATGGGGCACTTTCCTCAGCTGAGGTCCCCTCTCCGCTCTTGGTGGATGTACCTGGAGTAGGGTGAGAAATTGTTGTTTCAGCTGCCGTCTTTCCTTTTTCGATAACTGAAGTTGTTGGAGGTGGGCTTGAGGTCTCCTCTCTGCTGTCTTTAGGGGTTCCGCTACTTGTTGATGATGGGGCACTTTCCTCAGCTGAGGTCCCCTCTCCGCTCTTGGTGGATGTACCTGTAGTAGGCTGAGAAATCGTTGTTTCAGCTGCCGTTTTTACCGTTTCGATAACTGAAGTTGTTGGAGGTGGGCTTGACGTCTCCTCTCTGCTCTCTGTAGGGGTTCCGCTACTTGTTGATGATGGGGCACTTTCTTCAGCTGAGGTCCCCTCTCCGCTCTTGGTGGATGTACCTGGAGTAGAGTGAGAAATCGTTGTTTCAGCTGCCGTCTTTCCCGTTTCGATAACTGAAGTTGTTGGAGGTGGGCTTGAGGTCTCCTCTCTGCTCTCTGTAGGGGTTCCGCTACTTGTTGGTGATGGGGCACTTTCTTCAGCTGAGGTCCCCTCTCCGCTCTTGGTGGATGTACCTGGAGTAGAGTGAGAAATTGTTTTTTCAGATGCCGTCTTTCCCGTTTGGATAACTGATGTTGTTGGAGGTGGGCTTGACGTCTCCTCTCTGCTCTCTGTAGGGGTTCCGCTACTTATTGGTGATGGGGCACTTTCATCAGCTGAGGTCCCCTCTCCGCTCTTGGGGGATGTACCTGGAGTAGAGTGAGAAATCGTTGTTTCAGCTGCCGTCTTTCCCGTTTCGATAACTGAAGTTGTTGGAGGTGGGCTTGAGGTCTCCTCTCTGCTCTCTTTAGGGGTTCCGCTACTTGTTGATGATGGGGCAGTTTCCTCAGCTGAGGTCCCCTCTCTGCCCTTGGTTGATGTACCTGGAGTAGGCTGGGAAATCGTTGTTTCAGCTGCCGTTTTTACCGTTTCGATAACTGAAGTGGTTGGAGGTGGGCTTGAGGTCTCCTCTCTGCTCTCTGTAGGGATTCCGCTACTTGTTGGTGATGGGGCACTTTCTTCAGCTGAGGTCCCCTCTCCGCTCTTGGTGGATGTACCTGGAGTAGATTGAGAAATGCTTGTTTCAGCCGCCGTCTTTCCTGTTTCGATAACTGAAGTTCTTGGAGGTGGGCTTGAGGTCTCCTCTCTGATCTCTGTAGGGGTTCCGCTACTTGTTGATGATGGGGCAGTTTCCTCAGCTGAGGTCCCCTCTCCGCTCTTGGTGGATGTACCTGGAGTAGAGTGAGAAATCGTTGTTTCAGCTGCCGTCTTTCCCGTTTCGATAACTGAAGTTGTTGGAGGTGGGCTTGAGGTCTCCTCTCTGCTCTCTGTAGGGGTTCCGCTACTTGTTGATGATGGGGCACTTTCTTCAGCTGAGGTCCCCTCTCCGCTCTTGGTGGATGTACCTGGAGTAGAGTGAGAAATCGTTGTTTCAGCTGCCGTCTTTCCCGTTTCGATAACTGAAGTTGTTGGAGGTGGGCTTGAGGTCTCCTCTCTGCTCTCTGTAGGGGTTCCGCTACTTGTTGATGATGGGGCACTTTCTTCAGCTGAGGTCCCCTCTCCGCTCTTGGTGGATGTACCTGGAGTAGAGTGAGAAATCGTTGTTTCAGCTGCCGTCTTTCCCGTTTCGATAACTGAAGTTGTTGGAGGTGGGCTTGACGTCTCCTCTCTGCTCTCTGTAGGGGTTCCGCTACTTGTTGATGATGGGGCACTTTCGTCAACTGAGGTCCCCTCTCCGCTCTTGGTGGATGTACCTGGAGTAGGGTGAGAAATTGTTGTTTCAGCTGCCGTCTTTCCTGTTTCGATAACTGAAGTTGTTGGAGGTGGGCTTGAGGTCTCCTCTCTGCTCTCTGTAGGGGTTCCGCTACTTGTTGATGATGGGGCACTTTCTTCAGCTGAGGTCCCCTCTCCGCTCTTGGTGGATGTACCTGGAGTAGAGTGAGAAATCGTTGTTTCAGCTGCCGTCTTTCCCGTTTCGATAACTGAAGTTGTTGGAGGTGGGCTTGAGGTCTCCTCTCTGCTCTCTGTAGGGGTTCCGCTACTTGTTGATGATGGGGCACTTTCTTCAGCTGAGGTCCCCTCTCCGCTCTTGGTGGATGTACCTGGAGTAGAGTGAGAAATCGTTGTTTCAGCTGCCGTCTTTCCCGTTTCGATAACTGAAATTGTTGGAGGTGGGCTTGACGTCTCCTCTCTGCTCTCTGTAGGGGTTCCGCTACTTGTTGATGATGGGGCACTTTCTTCAGCTGAGGTGCCCTCTCCGCTCTTGGGGGATGTACCTGGAGTAGAGTGAGAAATCGTTGTTTCAGCTGCCGTCTTTCCCGTTTCGATAACTGAAGTTGTTGGAGGTGGGCTTGAGGTCTCCTCTCTGCTCTCTGTAGGGGTTCCGCTACTTGTTGATGATGGGGCACTTTCTTCAGCTGAGGTCCCCTCTCCGCTCTTGGTGGATGTACCTGGAGTAGAGTGAGAAATCGTTGTTTCAGCTGCCGTCTTTCCCGTTTCGATAACTGAAGTTGTTGGAGGTGGGCTTGACGTCTCCTCTCTGCTCTCTGTAGGGGTTCCGCTACTTATTGGTGATGGGGCACTTTCATCAGCTGAGGTCCCCTCTCCGCTCTTGGTGGATGTACCTGGAGTAGAGTGAGAAATCGTTGTTTCAGCTGCCGTCTTTCCCGTTTCGATAACTGAAGTTGTTGGAGGTGGGCTTGACGTCTCCTCTCTGCTCTCTGTAGGGGTTCCGCTACTTATTGGTGATGGGGCACCTTCATCAGCTGAGGTCCCCTCTCCGCTCTTGGTGGATGTACCTGGAGTAGAGTGAGAAATCGTTGTTTTAGCTGCCGTCTTTCCTGTTTCGATAACTGAAGTTGTTGGAGGTGGGTTTGAGGTCTCCTCTCTGCTCTCTGTAGGGGTTCCGCTACTTGTTGATGATGGGGCACTTTCGTCAACTGAGGTCCCCTCTCCGCTCTTGGTGGATGTACCTGGAGTAGAGTGAGAAATCGTTGTTTCAGCTGCCGTCTTTCCCGTTTCGATAACTGAAGTTGTTGGAGGTGGGCTTGACGTCTCCTCTCTGCTCTCTGTAGGGGTTCCGCTACTTGTTGATGATGGGGCACTTTCTTCAGCTGAGGTCCCCTCTCCGCTCTTGGTGGATGTACCTGGAGTAGAGTGAGAAATCGTTGTTTCAGCTGCCGTCTTTCCTGTTTCGATAACTGAAGTTGTTGGAGGTGGGCTTGAGGTCTCCTCTCTGCTCTCTGTAGGGGTTCCGCTACTTGTTGATGATGGGGCACTTTCTTCAGCTGAGGTCCCCTCTCCGCTCTTGGTGGATGTACCTGGAGTAGAGTGAGAAATCGTTGTTTCAGCTGCCGTCTTTCCTGTTTCGATAACTGAAGTTGTTGGAGGTGGGCTTGAGGTCTCCTCTCTGCTCTCTGTAGGGGTTCCGCTACTTGTTGATGATGGGGCACTTTCTTCAGCTGAGGTCCCCTCTCCGCTCTTGGTGGATGTACCAGGAGTAGAGTGAGAAATCGTTTTTTCAGATCCCGTCTTTCCCGTTTCGATAACTGATGTTGTTGGAGGTGGGCTTGATGTCTTCTCTCTGCTCTCTGTAGGGGTTCCACTATTTGTTGATGATGGGGCACTTTCTTCAGCTGAGGTCCCCTCTCCGCTCTTGGTGGATGTACCTGGAGTAGGGTGAGAAATTGTTGTTTCAGCTCCCGTCTTTCCTGTTTCGATAACTGAAGTTGTTGGAGGTGGGCTTGAGGTCTCCTCTCTGCTCTCTGTAGGGGTTCCGCTACTTGTTGATGATGGGGCACTTTCATCAGCTGAGGTCCCCTCTCCGCTCTTGGTGGATGTACCTGGAGGAGAGTGAGAAATCGTTGTTTCAGCTGCCGTCTTTCCCGTTTCGATAACTGAAGTTCTTGCAGGTGGGTTTGAGGTCTCCTCTCTGCTCTCTGTAGGGGTTCCGCTACTTGTTGATGATGGGGCACTTTCTTCAGCTGAGGTCCCCTCTCCGCTCTTGGTGGATGTACCTGGAGTAGAGTGAGAAATCGTTGTTTCAGCTGCCGTCTTTCCCGTTTCGATAACTGAAGTTGTTGGAGGTGGGCTTGAGGTCTCCTCTCTGCTCTCTGTAGGGGTTCCGCTACTTGTTGGTGATGGGGCACTTTCTTCAGCTGAGGTCCCCTCTCCGCTCTTGGTGGATGTACCTGGAGTAGAGTGAGAAATCGTTGTTTCAGCTGCCGTCTTTCCCGTTTCGATAACTGAAGTTGTTGGAGGTGGGCTTGAGGTCTCCTCTCTGCTCTCTGTAGGGGTTCCGCTACTTATTGGTTATGGTGCTCTTTCTTGAGCTGTGGGTCCCTCTCCGCTCTTGGTGGATGTACCTGGAGTAGAGTGAGAAATCGTTGTTTCAGCTGCCGTCTTTCCTGTTTCGATAACTGAAGTTGTTGGAGGTGGGCTTGACGTCTCCTCTCTGCTCTCTGTAGGGGTTCCGCTACTTGTTGATGATGGGGCACTTTCTTCAGCTGAGGTCCCCTCTCCGCTCTTGGTGGATGTACCTGGAGTAGAGTGAGAAATCATTGTTTCAGCTGCCGTCTTTCCTGTTTCGATAACTGAAGTTGTTGGAGGTGGGTTTGAGGTCTCCTCTCTGCTCTCTGTAGGGGTTCCGCTACTTGTTGATGATGGGGCACTTTCCTCAGATGAGGTCCCCTCTCCGCTCTTGGGGGATGTACCTGGAGTAGAGTGAGAAATCGTTGTTTCAGCTGCCGTCTTTCCCGTTTCGATAACTGAAGTTGTTGGAGGTGGGCTTGACGTCTCCTCTCTGCTCTCTGTAGGGGTTCCGCTACTTGTTGATGATGGGGCACTTTCGTCAACTGAGGTCCCCTCTCCGCTCTTGGTGGATGTACCTGGAGTAGAGTGAGAAATCGTTGTTTCAGCTGCCGTCTTTCCCGTTTCGATAACTGAAGTTGTTGGAGGTGGGCTTGAGGTCTCCTCTCTGCTGTCTTTAGAGGTTCCGCTACTTGTTGATGATGGGGCACTTTCCTCAGCTGAGGTCCCTTCTCTGCCCTTGGTGGATGCACCTGGAGTAGAGTGAGAAATCGTTTCAGCTGCCGTCTTTCCCGTTTCGATAACTGAAGTTGTTGGAGGTGGGCTTGACGTCTCCTCTCTGCTCTCTGTAGGGGTTCCGCTACTTGTTGATGATGGGGCACTTTCTTCAGCTGAGGTCCCCTCTCCGCTCCTGGTGGATGTACCTGGAGTAGAGTGAGAAATCGTTTTTTCAGATCCCGTCTTTCCCGTTTCGATAACTGATGTTGTTGGAGGTGGGCTTGACGTCTCCTCTCTGCTCTCTGTAGGGGTTCCGCTACTTGTTGATGATGGGGCACTTTCATCAGCTGAGGTTCCCTCTCCGCTCTTGGGGGATGTACCTGGAGTAGAGTGAGAAATCGTTGTTTCAGCTGCCGTCTTTCCCGTTTCAATAACTGAAGTTGTTGGAGGTGGGTTTGAGGTCTCCTCTCTGCTCTCTTTAGGGGTTCCGCTACTTGTTGATGATGGGGCAGTTTCCTCAGCTGAGGTCCCCTCTCTGCCCTTGGTTGATGTACCTGGAGTAGGCTGGGAAATCGTTGTTTCAGCTGCCGTTTTTACCGTTTCGATAACTGAAGTGGTTGGAGGTGGGCTTGAGGTCTCCTCTCTGCTCTCTGTAGGGGTTCCGCTACTTGTTGATGATGGGGCACTTTCTTCAGCTGAGGTCCCCTCTCCGCTCTTGGTGGATGTACCTGGAGTAGAGTGAGAAATCGTTGTTTCAGCTGCCGTCTTTCCTGTTTCGATAACTGAAGTTGTTGGAGGTGGGCTTGAGGTCTCCTCTCTGCTCTCTGTAGGGGTTCCGCTACTTGTTGGTGATGGGGCACTTTCTTCAGCTGAGGTCCCCTCTCCGCTCTTGGTGGATGTACCTGGAGTAGACTGAGAAATGCTTGTTTCAGCCGCCGTCTTTCCTGTTTCGATAACTGAAGTTGTTGGAGGTGGGCTTGAGGTCTCCTCTCTGCTCTCTGTAGGGGTTCCGCTACTTGTTGATGATGGGGCAGTTTCCTCAGCTGAGGTCCCCTCTCTGCCCTTGGTGGATGTACCTGGAGTAGAGTGAGAAATCGTTGTTTCAGCTGCCGTCTTTCCCGTTTCGATAACTGAAGTTGTTGGAGGTGGGCTTGAGGTCTCCTCTCTGCTCTCTGTAGGGGTTCCGCTACTTGTTGATGATGGGACACTTTCCTCAGCTGAGGTCCCCTCTCCGCTCTTGGTGGATGTACCTGGAGTAGAGTGAGAAATCGTTGTTTCAGCTGCCGTCTTTCCCGTTTCGATAACTGAAGTTGTTGGAGGTGGGCTTGAGGTCTCCTCTCTGCTCTCTGTAGGGGTTCCGCTACTTATTGGTGATGGGGCACTTTCATCAGCTGAGGTCCCCTCTCCGCTCTTGGTGGATGTACCTGGAGTAGAGTGAGAAATCGTTGTTTCAGCTGCCGTCTTTCCTGTTTCGATAACTGAAGTTGTTGGAGGTGGGCTTGAGGTCTCCTCTCTGCTCTCTGTAGGGGTTCCGCTACTTGTTGATGATGGGGCACTTTCATCAGCTGAGGTCCCCTCTCCGCTCTTGGTGGATGTACCTGGAGTAGAGTGAGAAATCGTTGTTTCAGCTGCCGTCTTTCCTGTTTCGATAACTGAAGTTGTTGGAGGTGGGCTTGAGGTCTCCTCTCTGCTCTCTGTAGGGGTTCCGCTACTTGTTGATGATGGGGCACTTTCGTCAACTGAGGTCCCCTCTCCGCTCTTGGTGGATGTACCTGGAGTAGAGTGAGAAATCGTTGTTTCAGCTGCCGTCTTTCCCGTTTCGATAACTGAAGTTGTTGGAGGTGGGCTTGAGGTCTCCTCTCTGCTCTCTGTAGGGGTTCCGCTACTTGTTGGTGATGGGGCACTTTCTTCAGCTGAGGTCCCCTCTCCGCTCTTGGTGGATGTACCTGGAGTAGAGTGAGAAATCGTTTCAGCTGCCGTCTTTCCTGTTTCGATAACTGAAGTTCTTGGAGGTGGGCTTGAGGTCTCCTCTCTGATCTCTGTAGGGGTTCCGCTACTTGTTGATGGTGGGGCACTTTCGTCAACTGAGGTCCCCTCTTTGCCCTTGGTGGATGTACCTGGAGTAGAGTGAGAAATCGTTGTTTCAGCTGCCGTCTTTCCCGTTTCGATAACTGAAGTTGTTGGAGGTGGGTTTGAGGTCTCCTCTCTGCTCTCTGTAGGGGTTCCGCTACTTGTTGATGATGGGGCAGTTTCCTCAGCTGAGGTCCCCTCTCTGCCCTTGGTGGATGTACCTGGAGTAGAGTGAGAAATCGTTGTTTCAGCTGCCGTCTTTCCTGTTTCGATAACTGAAGTTGTTGGAGGTGGGCTTGAGGTCTCCTCTCTGCTCTCTGTAGGGGTTCCGCTACTTGTTGATGATGGGGCACTTTCATCAGCTGAGGTCCCCTCTCCGCTCTTGGTGGATGTACCTGGAGTAGAGTGAGAAATCGTTGTTTCAGCTGCCGTCTTTCCCGTTTCGATAACTGAAGTTGTTGGAGGTGGGCTTGAGGTCTCCTCTCTGCTCTCTGTAGGGGTTCCGCTACTTGTTGATGATGGGGCACTTTCGTCAACTGAGGTCCCCTCTCCGCTCTTGGTGGATGTACCTGGAGTAGAGTGAGAAATCGTTGTTTCAGCTGCCGTCTTTCCCGTTTCGATAACTGAAGTTGTTGGAGGTGGGCTTGAGGTCTCCTCTCTGCTCTCTGTAGGGGTTCCGCTACTTGTTGATGATGGGGCACTTTCTTCAGCTGAGGTCCCCTCTCCGCTCTTGGTGGATGTACCTGGAGTAGACTGAGAAATGGTTGTTTCAGCTGCCGTCTTTCCTGCTTTGATAACTGAAGTTGTTGGAGTTGAGCTTGATGTCTCCTCTCTGCTCTCTATAGGGGTTCCGCTACTTGTTGATGATGGGGCACTTTCCTCAGCTGAGGTCCCCTCTCTGCTCTTGGTGGATGTACCTGTAGTAGGCTGAGAAATCGTTGTTTCAGCTGCCGTTTTTACCGTTTGGATTACTGAAGTTGTTGGAGGTGGGCTTGACGTCTCCTCTCTGCTCTCTGTAGGGGTTCCGCTACTTGTTGATGATGGGGCACTTTCCTCAGCTGAGGTCCCCTCTCCGCTCTTGGTGGATGTACCTGGAGTAGAGTGAGAAATCGTTGTTTCAGCTGCCGTCTTTCCCGTTTCGATAACTGAAGTTGTTGGAGGTGGGCTTGAGGTCTCCTCTCTGCTCTCTGTAGGGGTTCCGCTACTTGTTGGTGATGGGGCACTTTCTTCAGCTGAGGTCCCCTCTCCGCTCTTGGTGGATGTACCTGGAGTAGAGTGAGAAATCGTTGTTTCAGCTGCCGTCTTTCCTGTTTCGATAACTGAAGTTGTTGGAGGTGGGCTTGAGGTCTCCTCTCTGCTCTCTGTAGGGGTTCCGCTACTTGTTGATGATGGGGCACTTTCCTCAGCTGAGGTCCCCTCTCTGCCCTTGGTGGATGTACCTGGAGTAGAGTGAGAAATCGTTGTTTCAGCTGCCGTCTTTCCCGTTTCGATAACTGAAGTTGTTGGAGGTGGGCTTGAGGTCTCCTCTCTGCTCTCTGTAGGGGTTCCGCTACTTGTTGATGATGGGGCACTTTCGTCAACTGAGGTCCCCTCTCCGCTCTTGGTGGATGTACCTGGAGTAGAGTGAGAAATCGTTGTTTCAGCTGCCGTCTTTCCCGTTTCGATAACTGAAGTTGTTGGAGGTGGGCTTGATGTCTCCTCTCTGCTCTCTGTAGGGGTTCCGCTACTTGTTGATGATGGGGCACTTTCGTCAACTGAGGTCCCCTCTCCGCTCTTGGTGGATGTACCTGGAGTAGAGTGAGAAATCGTTGTTTCAGCTGCCGTCTTTCCCGTTTCGATAACTGAAGTTGTTGGAGGTGGGCTTGAGGTCTCCTCTCTGCTCTCTGTAGGGGTTCCGCTACTTGTTGGTGATGGGGCACTTTCTTCAGCTGAGGTCCCCTCTCCGCTCTTGGTGGATGTACCTGGAGTAGGCTGAGAAATTGTTTCAGCTGCCGTCTTTCCTGTTTCGATAACTGAAGTTGTTGGAGGTGGGCTTGAGGTCTCCTCTCTGCTCTCTGTAGGGGTTCCGCTACTTGTTGATGATGGGGCAGTTTCCTCAGCTGAGGTCCCCTCTCTGCCCTTGGTTGATGTACCTGGAGTAGGCTGAGAAATCGTTGTTTCAGCTGCCGTCTTTCCCGTTTCGATAACTGAAGTTGTTGGAGGTGGGCTTGAGGTCTCCTCTCTGCTCTCTGTAGGGGTTCCGCTACTTGTTGGTGATGGCGCACTTTCCTCAGCTGAGGTCCCCTCTCCGCTCTTGGTGGATGTACCTGGAGTAGAGTGAGAAATCGTTGTTTCAGCTGCCGTCTTTCCCGTTTCGATAACTGAAGTTGTTAGAGGTGGGCTTGAGGTCTCCTCTCTGCTCTCTGTAGGGGTTCCGCTACTTGTTGATGATGGGGCAGTTTCCTCAGCTGAGGTCCCCTCTTTGCCCTTGGTGGATGTACCTGGAGTAGAGTGAGAAATCATTATTTCAGCTGCCGTCTTTCCTGTATCGATAACTGAAATTGTTGGAGGTGGGCTTGAGGTCTCCTCTCTGCTCTCTGTAGGGGTTCCGCTACTTGTTGATGATGGGGCACTTTCTTCAGCTGAGGTCCCCTCTCCGCTCTTGGTGGATGTACCTGGAGTAGAGTGAGAAATCGTTGTTTCAGCTGCCGTCTTTCCCGTTTCGATAACTGAAGTTGTTGGAGGTGGGCTTGACGTCTCCTCTCTGCTCTCTGTAGGGGTTCCGCTACTTGTTGATGATGGGGCACTTTCTTCAGCTGAGGTCCCCTCTCCGCTCTTGGTGGATGTACCTGGAGTAGAGTGAGAAATCGTTGTTTCAGCTGCCGTCTTTCCCGTTTCGATAACTGATGTTGTTGGAAGTGGGCTTGACGTCTCCTCTCTGCTCTCTGTAGGGGTTCCGCTACTTATTTGTGATGGGGCACTTTCATCAGCTGAGGTCCCCTCTCCGCTCTTGGTTGATGTACCTGGAATAGGCTGGGAAATCGTTTTTTCAGCTGCCGTTTTTACCGTTTCGATAACTGAAGTGGTTGGAGGTGGGCTAGAGGTTTCCTCTCTGCTCTCTGTAGGGGTTCCGCTACTTGTTGGTGATGGCGCACTTTCCTCAGCTGAGGTCCCCTCTTTGCCCTTGGTGGATGTACCTGGAGTAGAGTGAAAAATCGTTGTTTTAGCTGCCGTCTTTCCTGTTTCGATAACTGAAGTTGTTGGAGGTGGGTTTGAGGTCTCCTCTCTGCTCTCTGTAGGGGTTCCGCTACTTGTTGATGATGGGGCAGTTTCCTCAGCTGAGGTCCCCTCTTTGCCCTTGGTGGATGTACCTGGAGTAGAGTGAGAAATCATTATTTCAGCTGCCGTCTTTCCTGTTTCGATAACTGAAGTTGTTGGAGGTGGGCTTGATGTCTCCTCTCTGCTCTCTGTAGGGGTTCCGCTACTTGTTGATGATGGGGCACTTTCATGAGCTGAGGTCCCCTCTCCGCTCTTGGTGGATGTACCTGGAGTAGAGTGAGAAATCGTTGTTTCAGCTGCCGTCTTTCCCGTTTCGATAACTGAAGTTGTTAGAGGTGGGCTTGAGGTCTCCTCTCTGCTCTCTGTAGGGGTTCCGCTACTTGTTGGTGATGGGGCACTTTCTTCAGCTGAGGTCCCCTCTCCGCTCTTGGTGGATGTACCTGGAGTAGACAGAGAAATGCTTGTTTCAGCCGCCGTCTTTCCCGTTTCGATAACTGAAATTCTTGGAGGTGGGCTTGAGGTCTCCTCTCTGCTCTCTGTAGGGGTTCCGCTACTTGTTGATGATGGGGCACTTTCTTCAGCTGAGGTCCCCTCTCCGCTCTTGGTGGATGTACCTGGAGTAGGCTGGGAAATCGTTGTTTCAGCTGCCGTTTTTACCGTTTCGATAACTGAAGTGGTTGGAGGTGGGCTTGAGGTCTCCTCTCTGCTCTCTGTAGGGGTTCCGCTACTTGTTGATGGTGGGGCAGTTTCCTCAGCTGAGGTCCCCTCTTTGCCCTTGGTGGATGTACCTGGCGTAGAGTGAAAAATCGTTGTTTTAGCTGCCGTCTTTCCTGTTTCGATAACTGAAGTTGTTGGAGGTGGGCTTGAGGTCTCCTCTCTGCTCTCTGTAGCGGTTCCGCTACTTGTTGATGATGGGGCACTTTCTTCAGCTGAGGTCCCCTCTCCGCTCTTGGTTGATGTACCTGGAGTAGGCTGGGAAATCGTTTTTTCAGCTGCCGTTTTTACCGTTTCGATAACTGAAGTGGTTGGAGGTGGGCTTGAGGTCTCCTCTCTGCTCTCTGTAGGGGATCCGCTACTTGTTGGTGATGGGGCACTTTCTTCAGCTGAGGTCCCCTCTCCGCTCTTGGTGGATGTACCTGGAGTAGACTGAGAAATGCTTGTTTCAGCCGCCGTCTTTCTTGTTTCGATAACTGAAGTTCTTGGAGGTGGGCTTGAGGTCTCCTCTCTGCTCTCTGTAGGGGTTCCGCTACTTGTTGATGATGGGGCACTTTCCTCAGATGAGGTCCCCTCTCCGCTCTTGCTGGATGTACCTGGAGTAGAGTGAGAAATAGTTTTTTCAGTTGCCGTCTTTCCCGTTTCGATAACTGAAATTGTTGGAGGTGGGCTTGACGTCTCCTCTCTGCTCTCTGTAGGGGTTCCGCTACTTGTTGATGATGGGGCACTTTCGTCAACTGAGGTCCCCTCTCCGCTCTTGGTGGATGTACCTGGAGTAGGGTGAGAAATTGTTGTTTCAGCTGCCGTCTTTCCCGTTTCGATAACTGATGGTGTTGGAGGTGGGCTTGACGTCTCCTCTCTGCTCTCTGTAGGGGTTCCGCTACTTATTTGTGATGGGGCACTTTCATCAGCTGAGGTTCCCTCTCCGCTCTTGGGGGATGTACCTGGAGTAGAGTGAGAAATCGTTGTTTCAGCTGCAATCTTTCCCGTTTCGATAACTGAAGTTGTTGGAGGTGGGTTTGAGGTCTCCTCTCTGCTCTCTTTAGGGGTTCGGCTGCTTGTTGATGATGGGGCAGTTTCCTCAGCTGAGGTCCCCTCTCTGCCCTTGGTTGATGTACCTGGAGTAGGCTGGGAAATCGTTGTTTCAGCTGCCGTTTTTACCGTTTCGATAACTGAAGTGATTGGAGGTGGGCTTGAGGTCTCCTCTCTGCTCTCTGTAGGGGTTCCGCTACTTGTTGATGATGGGGCACTTTCGTCAACTGAGGTCCCCTCTCTGCCCTTGGTGGATGTACCTGGATTCGGCTGGAAAATCGTTTTTTCAGCTGCCGTCTTTCCCGTTTCGATAACTGAAATTGTTGGAGGTGGGCTTGATGTCTCCTCTCTACTCTCTGTAGGGGTTCCACTACTTGTTGATAATGGGGCACTTTCATGAGCTGAGGTCCCCTCTCCGCTCTTGGTGGATGTACCTGGAGTAGAGTGAGAAATCGTTGTTTCAGCTGCCGTCTTTCCCGTTTCGATAACTGAAGTTGTTGGAGGTGGGCTTGAGGTCTCCTCTCTGCTCTCTGTAGGGGTTCCGCTACTTGTTGGTGATGGGGCACTTTCTTCAGCTGAGGTCCCCTCTCCGCTCTTGGTGGATGTACCTGGAGTAGACAGAGAAATGCTTGTTTCAGCCGCCGTCTTTCCTGTATCGATAACTGAAATTCTTGGAGGTGGGCTTGAGGTCTCCTCTCTGCTCTCTTTAGGGGTTCCGCTACTTGTTGATGATGGGGCAGTTTCCTCAGCTGAGGTCCCCTCTCTGCCCTTGGTTGATGTACCTGGAGTAGGCTGGGAAATCATTGTTTCAGCTGCCGTTTTTACCGTTTCGATAACTGAAGTGGTTGGAGGTGGGCTTGAGGTCTCCTCTCTGCTCTCTGTAGGGGTTCCGCTACTTGTTGGTGATGGCGCACTTTCCTCAGCTGAGGTCCCCTCTCCGCTCTTGGCGGATGTACCTGGAGTAGAGTGAGAAATCGTTGTTTCAGCTGCCGTCTTTCCCGTTTCAATAACTGAAGTTGTTGGAGGTGGGCTTGAGGTCTCCTCTCTGCTCTCTGTAGGGGTTCCGCTACTTGTTGATGGTGGGGCAGTTTCCTCAGCTGAGGTCCCCTCTTTGCCCTTGGTGGATGTACCTGGAGTAGAGTGAAAAATCGTTGTTTTAGCTGCCGTCTTTCCTGTTTCGATAACTGAAGTTGTTGGAGGTGGGCTTGAGGTCTCCTCTCTGCTCTCTGTAGCGGTTCCGCTACTTGTTGATGATGGGGCACTTTCTTCAGCTGAGGTCCCCTCTCCGCTCTTGGTTGATGTACCTGGAGTAGGCTGGGAAATCGTTTTTTCAGCTGCCGTCTTTCCCGTTTCGATAACTGAAGTGGTTGGAGGTGGGCTTGAGGTCTCCTCTCTGCTCTCTGTAGGGGTTCCGCTACTTGTTGGTGATGGCGCACTTTCCTCAGCTGAGGTCCCCTCTCCGCTCTTGGTGGATGTACCTGGAGTAGAGTGAGAAATCGTTGTTTCAGCTGCCGTCTTTCCCGTTTCAATAACTGAAGTTGTTGGAGGTGGGCTTGAGGTCTCCTCTCTGCTCTCTGTAGGGGTTCCGCTACTTGTTGATGATGGGGCACTTTCTTCAGCTGAGGTCCGCTCTCCGCTCTTGGTGGATGTACCTGGAGTAGAGTGAGAAATCGTTGTTTCAGCTGCAGTCTTTCCCGTTTCGATAACTGAAGTTGTTGGAGGTGGGCTTGAGGTCTCCTCTCTGCTCTCTGTAGGGGTTCCGCTACTTGTTGGTGATGGCGCACTTTCTTCAGCTGAGGTCCCCTCTCCGCTCCTGGTGGATGTACCTGGCGTAGAGTGAGAAATCGTTTTTTCAGATGACGTCTTTCCCGTTTTGATAACTGATGTTGTTGGAAGTGGGCTTGACGTCTCCTCTCTGCTCTCTGTAGGGGTTCCGCTACTTATTTGTGATAGGGCATTTTCTTCAGCTGAGGTCCCCTCTCCGCTCTTGGTGGATGTACCTGGAGTAGAGTGAGAAATCGTTGTTTTAGCTGCCGTCTTTCCTGTTTCGATAACTGAAGTGGTTGGAGGTGGGCTTGCGGTCTCCTCCCTGCTCTCTGTAGGGGTTCCGCTACCTGTTGGTGATGGCGCACTTTCCTCAGCTGAGGTCCCCTCTCCGCTCTTGGTGGATGTACCTGGAGTAGAGTGAGAAATCGTTGTTTCAGCTGCCGTCTTTCCCGTTTCAATAACTGAATTTGTTGGAGGTGGGCTTGAGGTCTCCTCTCTGCTCTCTGTAGGGGTTCCGCTACTTGTTGATGGTGGGGCAGTTTCCTCAGCTGAGGTCCCCTCTTTGCCCTTGGTGGATGTACCTGGAGTAGAGTGAAAAATCGTTGTTTTAGCTGCCGTCTTTCCTGTTTCGATAACTGAAGTTGTTGGAGGTGGGTTTGAGGTCTCCTCTCTGCTCTCTGTAGGGGTTCCGCTACTTGTTGATGATGGGGCACTTTCGTCAACTGAGGTGCCCTCTCCGCTCTTGGGGGATGTACCTGGAGTAGAGTGAGAAATGGTTGTTTCAGCTGCCGTCTTTCCCGTTTCGATAACTGCAGTTGTTGGAGGTAGGCTTGACGTCTCCTCTCTGCTCTCTGTAGGGGTTCCGCTACTTGTTGATGATGGGGCACTTTCGTCAACTGAGGTCCCCTCTCCGCTCTTGGTGGATGTACCTGGAGTAGAGTGAGAAATCGTTGTTTCAGCTGCCGTCTTTCCCGTTTCGATAACTGAAGTTGTTAGAGGTGGGCTTGCGGTCTCCTCTCTGCTCTCTGTAGGGGTTCCCCTACTTTTTGGTGATAGGGCATTTTCTTCAGCTGAGGTCCCCTCTCCGCTCTTGGGGGATGTACCTGGAGTAGAGTGAGAAATCGTTGTTTTAGCTGCCGTCTTTCCCGTTTCGATAACTGAAGTTGTTGGAGGTGGGTTTGAGGTCTCCTCTCTGCTCTCTGTAGGGGTTCCGCTACTTGTTGATGATGGGGCACTTTCGTCAACTGAGGTGCCCTCTCCGCTCTTGGGGGATGTACCTGGAGTAGAGTGAGAAATGGTTGTTTCAGCTGCCGTCTTTCCCGTTTCGATAACTGAAGTTGTTGGAGGTAGGCTTGACGTCTCCTCTCTGCTCTCTGTAGGGGTTCCGCTACTTGTTGATGATGGGGCACTTTCGTCAACTGAGGTCCCCTCTCCGCTCTTGGTGGATGTACCTGGAGTAGAGTGAGAAATCGTTGTTTCAGCTGCCATCTTTCCCGTTTCGATAACTGAAGTTGTTAGAGGTGGGCTTGAGGTCTCCTCTCTGCTCTCTGTACGGGTTCCGCTACTTGTTGGTGATGGGGCACTTTCTTCAGCTGAGGTCCCCTCTCCGCTCTTGGTGGATGTACCTGGAGTAGACTGAGAAATGCTTGTTTCAGCCGCCGTCTTTCCCGTTTCGATAACTGAAGTTGTTGGAGGTGGGTTTGAGGTCTCCTCTCTGCTCTCTGTAGGGGTTCCACTACTTGTTGATGATGGGGCACTTTCTTCAGCTGAGGTCCCCTCTACGTTCTTCGTGGATGTACCTGGAGTAGAGTGAGAAATCGTTGTTTTAGCTGCCGTCTTTCCCGTTTCGATAACTGAAGTTGTTGGAGCTGGGCTTGACGTCTCCTCTCTGCTCTCTGTAGGGGTTCCGCTACTTGTTGAAGATGGGGCACTTTCATCAGCTGAGGTCCCCTCTCCGCTCTTGGTGGATGTACCTGGAGTAGAGTGAGAAATGGTTGTTTCAGCTGCCGTCTTTCCCGTTTCGATAACTGAAGTTGTTGGAGGTAGGCTTGACGTCTCCTCTCTGCTCTCTGTAGGGGTTCCGCTACTTGTTGATGATGGGGCACTTTCGGCAACTGAGGTCCCCTCTCCGCTCTTGGTGGATGTACCTGGAGTAGAGTGAGAAATCGTTGTTTCAGCTGCCGTCTTTCCCGTTTCGATAACTGAAGTTGTTAGAGGTGGGCTTGCGGTCTCCTCTCTGCTCTCTGTAGGGGTTCCCCTACTTTTTGGTGATAGGGCATTTTCTTCAGCTGAGGTCCCCTCTCCGCTCTTGGGGGATGTACCTGGAGTAGAGTGAGAAATGCTTGTTTCAGCCGCCGTCTTTCCTGTATCGATAACTGAAGTTCTTGGAGGTGGGCTTGAGGTCTCCTCTCTGCTCTCTGTAGGGGTTCCGCTACTTGTTGATGATGGGGCACTTTCTTCAGCTGAGGTCCCCTCTCCGCTCTTGGGGGATGTACCTGGAGGAGACTGAAAAATCGTTGTTTTAGCTGCCGTCTTTCCTGTTTCGATAACTGAAGTTGTTGGAGGTGGGTTTGAGGTCTCCTCTCTGCTCTCTGTAGGGGTTCCGCTACTTGTTGATGATGGGGCACTTTCTTCAGCTGAGGTCCCCTCTCCGCTCTTGGTGGATGTACCTGGAGTAGACTGAGAAATGCTTGTTTCAGCCGCCGTCTTTCCTGTATCGATAACTGAAGTTCTTGGAGGTGGGCTTGAGGTCTCCTCTCTGCTCTCTGTAGGGGTTCCGCTACTTGTTGATGATGGGGCACTTTCTTCAGCTGAGGTCCCCTCTCCGCTCTTGGTGGATGTACCTGGAGTAGAGTGAAAAATCGTTGTTTTAGCTGCCGTCTTTCCGGTTTCGATAACTGAAGTTGTTGGAGGTGGGTTTGAGGTCTCCTCTCTGCTCTCTTTAGGGGTTCCGCTACTTGTTGATGATGGGGCACTTTCGGCAACTGAGGTCCCCTCTCCGCTCTTGGTGGATGTACCTGGATTAGAGTGAGAAATGGTTGTTTCAGCTGCCGTCTTTCCCGTTTCGATAACTGAAGTTGTTGGAGGTAGGCTTGACGTCTCCTCTCTGCTCTCTGTAGCGGTTCCGCTACTTGTTGATGATGGGGCACTTTCGGCAACTGAGGTCCCCTCTTTGACCTTGGTGGATGTACCTGGAGTAGAGTGAGAAATCGTTGTTTCAGCTGCCGTCTTTCCCGTTTCGATACGTGAAGTTGTTGGAAGTGGGCTTGACGTCTCCTCTCTGCTCTCTGTAGGGGTTCCCCTACTTATTGGTGATAGGACACTTTCATCAGCTGAGGTCCCCTCTCCGCTCTTGGGGGATGTACCTGGAGGAGAGTGAGAAATCGTTGTTTCAGCTGCAGTCTTTCCCGTTTCGATAACTGAAGATGTTGTAGGTGGGCTTGACGTCTCCTCTCTGCTCTCTGTAGGGTTTCCGCTACTTGTTGAAGATGGGGCACTTTCATCAGCTGAGGTCCCCTCTCCGCTCTTGGGGGATGTACCTGGAGTAGAGTGAGAAATGGTTGTTTCAGCTGCCGTCTTTCCCGTTTCGATAACTGAAGTTGTTGGAGGTAGGCTTGACGTCTCCTCTCTGCTCTCTGTAGGGGTTCTGCTACTTGTTGATGATGGGGCACTTTCGGCAACTGAGGTCCCCTCTCCGCTCTTGGTGGATGTACCTGGAGTAGAGTGAGAAATCGTTGTTTCAGCTGCCATCTTTCCCGTTTCGATAACTGAAGTTGTTAGAGGTGGGCTTGAGGTCTCCTCTCTGCTCTCTGTACGGGTTCCGCTACTTGTTGGTGATGGGGCACTTTCTTCAGCTGAGGTCCCCTCTCCGCTCTGGGTGGATGTACCTGGAGTAGACTGAGAAATGCTTGTTTCAGCCGCCGTCTTTCCCGTTTCGATAACTGAAGTTGTTGGAGGTGGGTTTGAGGTCTCCTCTCTGCTCTCTGTAGGGGTTCCCCTACTTGCTGATGATGGGGCACTTTCTTCAGCTGAGGTCCCCTCTACGTTCTTGGTGGATGTACCTGGAGTAGAGTGAGAAATCGTTGTTTTAGCTGCCGTCTTTCCCGTTTCGATAACTGAAGTTGTTGGAGCTGGGCTTGACGTCTCCTCTCTGCTCTCTGTAGGGGTTCCGCTACTTGTTGAAGATGGGGCACTTTCATCAGCTGAGGTCCCCTCTCCGCTCTTGGGGGATGTACCCGGAGGAGACTGAAAAATCGTTTTTTCAGCTGCCGTCTTTCCCGTTTCAATAACTGAAGTTGTTGGAGGTGGGTTTGAGGTCTCCTCTCTGCTCTCTGTAGGGGTTCCCCTACTTGTTGATGATGGGGCACTTTCGGCAACTGAGGTCCCCTCTCCGCTCTTGGTGGATGTACCTAGAGTAGAGTGAGAAATCGTTGTTTCAGCTGCCGTCTTTCCCGTTTCGATAACTGAAGTTGTTGGAGGTAGGCTTGACGTCTCCTCTCTGCTCTCTGTAGGGGTTCCGCTACTTGTTGATGATGGGGCACTTTCGGCAACTGAGGTCCCCTCTCCGCTCTTGGTGGATGTACCTGGAGTAGAGTGAGAAATCGTTGTTTCAGCTGCCGTTTTTACGGTTTGGATAACTGAAGTTGTTAGAGGTGGGCTTGACGTCTCCTCTCTGCTCTCTGTAGGGGTTCCGCTACTTGTTGATGATGGGGCACTTTCTTTAGCTGAGGTCCCCTCTTCGCTCTTGGTGGATGTACCTGGAGTAGAGTGAGAAATCGTTTTCTCAGCTGCCGTCCTTCCCGTTTCGATAACTGAAGTTCTTGGAGGTGGGCTTGAGGTCTCCTCTCTGCTCTCTGTAGGGGTTCCGCTACTTGTTGGTGATGGGGCACTTTCTTCAGCTGAGGTCCCCTCTCCGCTCCTGGTGGATGTACCTGGAGTAGAGTGAGAAATCGTTTTTTCAGATGACGTCTTTCCCGTTTCGATAACTGATGTTGTTGGAGGTGGGCTTGACTTCTCCTCTCTGCTCTCTGTAGGGGTTCCGCTACTTGTTGATGATGGGGCACTTTCATCAGCTGAGGTTCCCTCTCCGCTCTTGGGGGATGTACCTGGAGTAGAGTGAGAAATCGTTGTTTCAGCTGCCGTCTTTCCCGTTTCAATACTTGAAGTTGTTGGAGGTGGGTTTGAGGTCTCCTCTGTGCTCCCTTTAGGGGTTCCGCTACTTGTTGATGATGGGGCAGTTTCCCCAGCTGAGGTCCCCTCTATGCCCTTGGTTGATGTACCTGGAGTAGGCTGGGAAATCGTTGTTTCAGCTGCCGCTTTTACCGTTTCGATAACTGAAGTGGTTGGAGGTGGGCTTGAGGTCTCCTCTCTGCTCTCTGTAGGGGTTCCGCTACTTGTTGATGATGGGACACTTTCTTCAGCTGAGGTCCCCTCTCCGCTCTTGGTGGATGTACCTGGAGTAGAGTGAGAAATCGTTGTTTCAGCTGCCGTCTTTCCCGTATCGATAACTGAAGTTATTAGAGGTGGGCTTGAGGTCTCCTCTCTGCTCTCTGTAGGGGATCCGCTACTTGTTGGTGATGGGGCACTTTCTTCAGCTAAGGTCCCCTCTCCGCTCTTGGTGGATGTACCTGGAGTAGACTGAGAAATGCTTGTTTCAGCCGCCGTCTTTCCTGTTTCGATAACTGAAGTTCTTGGAGGTGGGCTTGAGGTCTCCTCTCTGATCTCTGTAGGGGTTCCGCTACTTGTTGATGATGGGGTACTTTCCTCAGATGAGGTCCCCTCTCCGCTCTTGCTGGATGTACCTGGAGTAGAGTGAGAAATCGTTTTTTCAGCTGCCGTCTTTCCCGTTTCGATAACTGAAATTGTTGGAGGTGGGCTTGACGTCTCCTCTCTGCTCTCTGTAGGGGTTCCGCTACTTGTTGATGATGGGGCACTTTCGTCAACTGAGGTCCCCTCTCCGCTCTTGGTGGATGTACCTGGAGTAGGCTGGGAAATCGTTGTTTCAGCTGCCGTTTTTACCGTTTCGATAACTGAAGTGGTTGGAGGTGGGCTTGAGGTCTCCTCTCTGCTCTCTGTAGGGGTTCCGCTAGTTGTTGGTGATGGCGCACTTTCCTCAGCTGAGGTCCCCTCTCCGCTCTTGGTGGATGTACCTGGAGTAGACAGAGAAATCGTTGTTTCAGCTGCCGTCTTTCCCGTTTCAATAACTGAAGTTGTTGGAGGTGGGCTTGAGGTCTCCTCTCTGCTCTCTGTAGGGGTTCCGCTACTTGTTGATGGTGGGGCAGTTTCCTCAGTTGAGGTCCCCTCTTTGCCCTTGGTGGATGTACCTGGAGTAGAGTGAAAAATCGTTGTTTTAGCTGCCGTTTTTACAGTTTGGATAACTGAAGTTGTTAGAGGTGGGCTTGACGTCTCCTCTCTGCTCTCTGTAGGGGTTCCGCTACTTGTTGATGATGGTACACTTTCTTTAGCTGAGGTCCCCTCTCCGCTCTTGGTGGATGTACCTGGAGTAGAGTGAGAAATCGTTTTCTCAGCTGCCGTCTTTCCCGTTTCGATAACTGAAGTTCTTGGAGGTGGGCTTGAGGTCTCCTCTCTGCTCTCTGTAGGGGTTCCGCTACTTGTTGGTGATGGGGCACTTTCTTCAGCTGAGGTCCCCTCTCCGCTCCTGGTGGATGTACCTGGAGTAGAGTGAGAAATCGTTTTTCAGATGACGTCTTTCCCGTTTCGATAACTGATGTTGTTGGAGGTGGGCTTGACTTCTCCTCTCTGCTCTCTGTAGGGGTTCCGCTACTTGTTGATGATGGGGCACTTTCATCAGCTGAGGTTCCCTCTCCGCTCTTGGGGGATGTACCTGGAGTAGAGTGAGAAATCGTTGTTTCAGCTGCCGTCTTTCGCGTTTCGATACTTGAAGTTGTTGGAGGTGGGTTTGAGGTCTCCTCTCTGCTCCCTTTAGGGGTTCCGCTACTTGTTGATGATGGGGCAGTTTCCTCAGCTGAGGTCCCCTCTATGCCCTTGGTTGATGTACCTGGAGTAGGCTGGGAAATCGTTGTTTCAGCTGCCGTTTTTACCGTTTCGATAACTGAAGTGGTTGGAGGTGGGCTTGAGGTCTCCTCTCTGCTCTCTGTAGGGGTTCCGCTACTTGTTGATGATGGGACACTTTCCTCAGCTGAGGTCCCCTCTCTGCCCTTCGTGGATGTACCTGGAGTAGAGTGAGAAATAGTTTTTTCAGTTGCCGTCTTTCCCGTTTCGATAACTGAAATTGTTGGAGGTGGGCTTGACGTCTCCTCTCTGCTCTCTGTAGGGGTTCCGCTACTTGTTGATGATGGGGCACTTTCGTCAACTGAGGTCCCCTCTCTGCTCTTGGTGGATGTACCTGGAGCAGGGTGAGAAATTGTTGTTTCAGCTGCCGTCTTTCCCGTTTCGATAACTGAAGTTGTTGGAGGTGGGCTTGACGTCTCCTCTCTGCTCTCTGTAGGGGTTCCGCTACTTATTTGTGATGGGGCACTTTCATCAGCTGAGGTTCCCTCTCCGCTCTTGGGAGATGTACCTGGAGTAGAGTGAGAAATCGTTGTTTCAGCTGCAATCTTTCCCGTTTCGATAATTGAAGTTGTTGGAGGTGGGTTTGAGCTCTCCTCTCTGCTCTCTTTAGGGGTTCGGCTACTTTTTGATGATGGGGCAGTTTCCTCAGCTGAGGTCCCCTCTCTGCCCTTGGTTGATGTACCTGGAGTAGGCTGGGAAATCGTTGTTTCAGCTGCCGTTTTTACCGTTTCGATAACTGAAGTGATTGGAGGTGGGCTTGAGGTCTCCTCTCTGCTCTCTGTAGGGGTTCCGCTACTTGTTGATGATGGGGCACTTTCGTCAACTGAGGTCCCCTCTCTGCCCTTGGTGGATGTACCTGGAATAGGCTGGGAAATCGTTTTTTCAGCTGCCGTCTTTCCCGTTTCGATAACTGAAATTGTTGGAGGTGGGCTTGATGTCTCCTCTCTACTCTCTGTAGGGGTTCCACTACTTGTTGATGATGGGGCACTTTCTTCAGCTGAGGTCCCCTCTCCGCTCTTGGTGGATGTACCTGGAGTAGGGTGAGAAATTGTTCTTTCAGCTGCCGTCTTTCCTGTTTCGATAACTGAAGTTGTTGGAGGTGGGCTTGACGTCTCCTCTCTGCTCTCTGTAGGGGTTCCGCTACTTGTTGATGATGGGGCACTTTCATCAGCTGAGGTCCCCTCTCCGCTCTTGGTGGATGTACCTGGAGTAGAGTGAGAAATCGTTGTTTCAGCTGCCGCCTTTCCCGTTTCGATTACTGAAGTTGTTGGAGGTAGGCTTGACGTCTCCTCTCTGCTCTCTGTAGGGGTTCCGCTACTTGTTGATGATGGGGCACTTTCGGCAACTGAGGTCCCCTCTCCGCTCTTGGTGGATGTACCTGGAGTAGAGTGAGAAATCGTTGTTTCAGCTGCCGTCTTTCCCGTATCGATAACTGAAGTTGTTAGAGGTGGGCTTGAGGTCTCCTCTCTGCTCTCTGTAGGGGATCCGCTACTTGTTGGTGATGGGGCACTTTCTTCAGCTGAGGTTCCCTCTCCGCTCTTGGGGGATGTACCTGGAGTAGAGTGAGAAATCTTTGTTTCAGCTGCCGTCTTTCCCGTTTCGATACTTGAAGTTGTTGGAGGTGGGTTTGAGGTCTCCTCTCTGCTCTCTTCAGGGGTTCCGCTACTTGTTGATGATGGGGCAGTTTCCTCAGCTGAGGTCCCCTCTCTGCCCTTGGTGGATGTACCTGGAGTATAGTGAGAAATCATTGTTTCAGCTGCCGTCTTTCCCGTTTCGATAACTGAAATTGTTGGAGGTGGGCTTGATCTCTCCTCTGTGCTCCCTGTAGGGGTTCCACTACTTGTTGATGATGGGGCACTTTCTTCAGCTGAGGTCCCCTCTCCGCTCTTGGTGGATGTACCTGGAGTAGGGTGAGAAATTGTTGTTTCAGCTGCCGTCTTTCCTGTTTCGATAACTGAAGTTGTTGGAGGTGGGCTTGAGGTCTCCTCTCTGATCTCTGTAGGGGTTCCGCTACTTGTTGATGATGGGGCAGTTTCCTCAGCTGAGGTCCCCTCTTTGCCCTTGGTGGATGTACCTGGAGTAGAGTGAGAAATCATTGTTTCAGCTGCCGTCTTTCCCGTTTCGATAACTGAAGTTGTTGGAGGTGGGTTTGAGGTCTCCTCTCTGCTCTCTGTAGGGGTTCCGCTACTTGTTGATGATGGGGCACTTTCGTCAACTAAGGTCCCCTCTCCGCTCTTGGTGGATGTACCTGGAGTAGAGTGAGAAATGGTTGTTTCAGCTGCCGTCTTTCCCGTTTCGATAACTGAAGTTGTTGGAGGTAGGCTTGACGTCTCCTCTCTGCTCTCTGTAGGGGTTCCGCTACTTGTTGATGATGGGGCACTTTCGGCAACTGAGGTCCCCTCTCCGCTCTTGGTGGATGTACCTGGAGTAGAGTGAGAAATGGTTGTTTCAGCTGCCGTCTTTCCCGTTTCGATAACTAAAGTTGTTAGAGGTGGGCTTGAGGTCTCCTCTCTGCTCTCTGTAGGGGTTCCGCTACTTGTTGATGATGGGGCACTTTCGTCAACTGAGGTCCCCTCTCCGCTCTTGGTGGATGTACCTGGAGTAGGGTGAGAAATTGTTGTTTCAGCTGCCGTCTTTCCCGTTTCGATAACTGATGGTGTTGGAGGTGGGCTTGACGTCTCCTCTCTGCTCTCTGTAGGGGTTCCGCTACTTGTTGATGATGGGGCACTTTCGTCAACTGAGGTCCCCTCTCCGCTCTTGGTGGATGTACCTGGAGTAGGGTGAGAAATTGTTGTTTCAGCTGCCGTCTTTCCCGTTTCGATAACTGATGGTGTTGGAGGTGGGCTTGACGTCTCCTCTCTGCTCTCTGTAGGGGTTCCGCTACTCATTTGTGATGGGGCACTTTCATCAGCTGAGGTTCCCTCTCCGCTCTTGGTGGATGTACCTGGAGTAGAGTGAGAAATCGTTGTTTCAGCTGCCGTCTTTCCCGTTTCGATAACTGATGTTGTTGGAGGTGGGCTTGACGTCTCCTCTCTGCTCTCTGTAGGGGTTCCGCTACTTGTTGATGATGGGGCACTTTCATCAGCTGAGGTTCCCTCTTTGCCCTTGGTGGATGTACCTGGAGTAGAGTGAGAAATCATTGTTTCAGCTGCCGTCTTTCCCGTTTCGATAACTGAAGTTGTTGGAGGTGGGTTTGAGGTCTCCTCTCTGCTCTCTGTAGGGGTTCCACTACTTGTTGATGATGGGGCACTTTCGGCAACTGAGGTCCCCTCTCCGCTCTTGGTGGATGTACCTGGAGTAGAGTGAGAAATGGTTGTTTCAGCTGCCGTCTTTCCTGTTTCGATAACTGAAGTTGTTGGAGGTAGGCTTGACGTCTCCTCTCTGCTCTCTGTAGGGGTTCCGCTACTTGTTGATGATGGGGCACTTTCGGCAACTGAGGTCCCCTCTCCGCTCTTGGTGGATGTACCTGGAGTAGAGTGAGAAATGGTTGTTTCAGCTGCCGTCTTTCCTGTTTCGATAACTGAAGTTGTTGGAGGTAGGCTTGACGTCTCCTCTCTGCTCTCTGTAGGGGTTCCGCTACTTGTTGATGATGGGGCACTTTCGGCAACTGAGGTCCCCTCTCCGCTCTTGGTGGATGTACCTGGAGTAGAGTGAGAAATCGTTGTTTCAGCTGCCGTCTTTCCCGTTTCGATAACTGAAGTTGTTGGAGGTGGGCTTGAGGTCTCCTCTCTGCTCTCTGTAGGGGTTCCGCTACTTGTTGATGATGGGGCACTTTCGTCAACTGAGGTCCCCTCTCCGCTCTTGGTGGATGTACCTGGAGTAGGGTGAGAAATTGTTGTTTCAGCTGCCGTCTTTCCCGTTTCGATAACTGATGGTGTTGGAGGTGGGCTTGACGTCTCCTCTCTGCTCTCTGTAGGGGTTCCGCTACTCATTTGTGATGGGGCACTTTCATCAGCTGAGGTCCCCTCTCCGCTCTTGGTGGATGTACCTGGAGTAGAGTGAGAAATCGTTGTTTCAGCTGCCGTCTTTCCCGTTTCGATACTTGAAGTTGTTGGAGGTGGGTTTGAGGTCTCCTCTCTGCTCTCTTTAGGGGTTCCGCTACTTGTTGATGATGGGGCAGTTTCCTCAGCTGAGGTCCCCTCTCTGCCCTTGGTTGATGTACCTGGAGTAGGCTGGGAAATCGTTGTTTCAGCTGCCGTTTTTACCGTTTCGATAACTGAAGTGGTTGGAGGTGGGCTTGAGGTCTCCTCTCTGCTCTCTGTAGGGGTTCCGCTACTTGTTGATGGTGGGGCACTTTCGTCAACTGAGGTCCCCTCTTTGCCATTGCTGGATCTACCTGAAGTAGAGTGAGAAATCATTGTTTCAGCTGCCGTCTTTCCCGTTTCGATAACTGAAGTTGTTGGAGGTGGGTTTGAGGTCTCCTCTCTGCTCTCTGTAGGGGTTCCGCTACTTGTTGATGATGGGGCAGTTTCCTCAGCTGAGGTCCCCTCTTTGCCCTTGGTGGATGTACCTGGAGTAGAGTGAGAAATCGTTGTTTCAGCTGCCGTTTTTACCGTTTCGATAACTGAAGTGGTTGGAGGTGGGCTTGAGGTCTCCTCTCTGCTCTCTGTAGGGGTTCCGCTACTTATTGGTGATAGGGCACTTTCATCAGCTGAGGTCCCCTCTCCGCTCTTGGGGGATGTACCTGGAGGAGAGTGAGAAATCGTTGTTTCAGCTGCAGTCTTTCCCGTTTCGATAACTGAAGTTGTTGGAGGTGGGCTTGACGTCTCCTCTCTGCTCTCTGTGGGCGTTCCGCTACTCATTGGTGATGGGGCACTTTCTTCAGCTGAGGTCCCCTCTCCGCTCTTGGTGGATGTACCTGGAGTAGGGTGAGAAATTGTTGTTTCAGCTGCCGTCTTTCCCGTTTCGATAACTGATGGTGTTGGAGGTGGGCTTGACATGTCCTCTCTGCTCTCTGTAGGGGTTCCGCTACTTGTTGAAGACGGGGCACTTTCATCAGCTGAGGTCCCCTCTCCGCTCTTGGGGGATGTACCCGGAGGAGACTGAAAAATCGTTTTTTCAGCTGCCGTCTTTCCCGTTTCGATAACTGATGGTGTTGGAGGTGGGCTTGACGTCTCCTCTCTGCTCTCTGTAGGGGTTCCGCTACTCATTTGTGATGGGGCACTTTCATCAGCTGAGGTTCCCTCTCCGCTCTTGGGGGATGTACCTGGAGTAGAGTGAGAAATCGTTGTTTCAGCTGCCGTCTTTCCCGTTTCGATACTTGAAGTTGTTGGAGGTGGGTTTGAGGTCTCCTCTCTGCTCCCTTTAGGGGTTCCGCTACTTGTTGATGATGGGGCAGTTTCCTCAGCTGAGGTCCCCTCTCTGCCCTTGGTTGATGTACCTGGAGTAGGCTGGGAAATCGTTGTTTCAGCTGCCGTTTTTACCGTTTCGATAACTGAAGTGGTTGGAGGTGGGCTTGAGGTCTCCTCTCTGCTCTCTGTAGGGGTTCCGCTACTTGTTGGTGATGGGGCACTTTCTTCAGCTGAGGTCCCCTCTCCGCTCTTGGTGGATGTACCTGGAGTAGGGTGAGAAATTGTTCTTTCAGCTGCCGTCTTTCCTGTTTCGATAACTGAAGTTGTTGGAGGTGGGCTTGAGGTCTCCTCTCTGCTCTCTGTAGGGGTTCCGCTACTTGTTGATGATGGGACACTTTCCTCAGCTGAGGTCCCCTCTCTGCCCTTGGTGGATGTACCTGGAATAGGCTGGGAAATCGTTTTTTCAGCTGCCGTCTTTCCCGTTTCGATAACTGAAATTGTTGGAGGTGGGCTTGAGGTCTCCTCTCTGCTCTCTGTAGGGGTTCCGCTACTTGTTGATGATGGGGCACTTTCTTCAGCTGAGGTCCCCTCTCCGCTCTTTGTGGATGTACCTGGAGTAGAGTGAGAAATCGTTTTTTCAGCTGCCGTCTTTCCCGTTTCGATAACTGAAGTTGTTGGAGGTGGGCTTGACGTCTCCTCTCTGCTCTCTGTAGGGGTTCTACTACTTGTTGATGATGGGACACTTTCTTCAGCTGAGGTCCCCTCTCCGCTCTTGGTGGATGTACCTGAAGTAGAGTGAGAAATGGTTGTTTCAGCTGCCGTCTTTCCTGTTTCGATAACTGAAGTTGTTGGAGGTAGGCTTGACGTCTCCTCTCTGCTCTCTGTAGGGGTTCCGCTACTTGTTGATGATGGGGCACTTTCGGCAACTGAGGTCCCCTCTCCGCTCTTGGTGGATGTACCTGGAGTAGAGTGAGAAATGGTTGTTTCAGCTGCCGTCTTTCCTGTTTCGATAACTGAAGTTGTTGGAGGTGGGCTTGAGGTCTCCTCTCTGCTCTCTGTAGGGGTTCCGCTACTTGTTGATGATGGGGCACTTTCGGCAACTGAGGTCCCCTCTCCGCTCTTGGTGGATGTACCTGGAGTAGAGTGAGAAATCGTTGTTTCAGCTGCCGTCTTTCCCGTTTCGATAACTGAAGTTGTTGGAGGTGGGCTTGAGGTCTCCTCTCTGCTCTCTGTAGGGGTTCCGCTACTTGTTGATGATGGGGCACTTTCGTCAACTGAGGTCCCCTCTCCGCTCTTGGTGGATGTACCTGGAGTAGGGTGAGAAATTGTTGTTTCAGCTGCCGTCTTTCCCGTTTCGATAACTGATGGTGTTGGAGGTGGGCTTGACGTCTCCTCTCTGCTCTCTGTAGGGGTTCCGCTACTCATTTGTGATGGGGCACTTTCATCAGCTGAGGTTCCCTCTCCGCTCTTGGGGGATGTACCTGGAGTAGAGTGAGAAATCGTTGTTTCAGCTGCCGTCTTTCCCGTTTCGATACTTGAAGTTGTTGGAGGTGGGTTTGAGGTCTCCTCTCTGCTCTCTTTAGGGGTTCCGCTACTTGTTGATGATGGGGCAGTTTCCTCAGCTGAGGTCCCCTCTCTGCCCTTGGTTGATGTACCTGGAGTAGGCTGGGAAATCGTTGTTTCAGCTGCCGTTTTTTACCGTTTCGATAACTGAAGTGGTTGGAGGTGGGCTTGAGGTCTCCTCTCTGCTCTCTGTAGGGGTTCCGCTACTTGTTGATGATGGGGCACTTTCGTCAACTGAGGTCCCCTCTTTGCCATTGCTGGATCTACCTGAAGTAGAGTGAGAAATCATTGTTTCAGCTGCCGTCTTTCCCGTTTCGATAACTGAAGTTGTTGGAGGTGGGTTTGAGGTCTCCTCTCTGCTCTCTGTAGGGGTTCCGCTACTTATTGGTGATGGGGCAGTTTCCTCAGCTGAGGTCCCCTCTTTGCCCTTGGGGGATGTACCTGGAGTAGAGTAAGAAATCGTTGTTTCAGCTGCAGTCTTTCCCGTTTCGATAACTGAAGTTGTTGGAGGTGGGCTTGACGTCTCCTCTCTGCTCTCTGTGGGCGTTCCGCTACTCATTGGTGATGGGGCACTTTCTTCAGCTGAGGTCCCCTCTCCGCTCTTGGTGGATGTACCTGGAGTAGGGTGAGAAATTGTTGTTTCAGCTGCCGTCTTTCCCGTTTCGATAACTGATGGTGTTGGAGGTGGGCTTGACATGTCCTCTCTGCTCTCTGTAGGGGTTCCGCTACTTGTTGAAGACGGGGCACTTTCATCAGCTGAGGTCCCCTCTCCGCTCTTGGGGATGTACCCGGAGGAGACTGAAAAATCGTTTTTTCAGCTGCCGTCTTTCCCGTTTCGATAACTGATGGTGTTGGAGGTGGGCTTGACGTCTCCTCTCTGCTCTCTGTAGGGGTTCCGCTACTCATTTGTGATGGGGCACTTTCATCAGCTGAGGTTCCCTCTCCGCTCTTGGGGGATGTACCTGGAGTAGAGTGAGAAATCGTTGTTTCAGCTGCCGTCTTTCCCGTTTCGATACTTGAAGTTGTTGGAGGTGGGTTTGAGGTCTCCTCTCTGCTCCCTTTAGGGGTTCCGCTACTTGTTGATGATGGGGCAGTTTCCTCAGCTGAGGTCCCCTCTCTGCCCTTGGTTGATGTACCTGGAGTAGGCTGGGAAATCGTTGTTTCAGCTGCCGTTTTTACCGTTTCGATAACTGAAGTGGTTGGAGGTGGGCTTGAGGTCTCCTCTCTGCTCTCTGTAGGGGTTCCGCTACTTGTTGGTGATGGGGCACTTTCTTCAGCTGAGGTCCCCTCTCCGCTCTTGGTGGATGTACCTGGAGTAGGGTGAGAAATTGTTCTTTCAGCTGCCGTCTTTCCTGTTTCGATAACTGAAGTTGTTGGAGGTGGGCTTGAGGTCTCCTCTCTGCTCTCTGTAGGGGTTCCGCTACTTGTTGATGATGGGACACTTTCCTCAGCTGAGGTCCCCTCTCTGCCCTTGGTGGATGTACCTGGAATAGGCTGGGAAATCGTTTTTTCAGCTGCCGTCTTTCCCGTTTCGATAACTGAAATTGTTGGAGGTGGGCTTGAGGTCTCCTCTCTGCTCTCTGTAGGGGTTCCACTACTTGTTGATGATGGGGCACTTTCTTCAGCTGAGGTCCCCTCTCCGCTCTTTGTGGATGTACCTGGAGTAGAGTGAGAAATCGTTTTTTCAGCTGCCGTCTTTCCCGTTTCGATAACTGAAGTTGTTGGAGGTGGGCTTGACGTCTCCTCTCTGCTCTCTGTAGGGGTTCTGCTACTTGTTGATGATGGGACACTTTCTTCAGCTGAGGTCCCCTCTCCGCTCTTGGTGGATGTACCTGAAGTAGAGTGAGAAATCGTTGTTTTAGCTGCCGTCTTTCCTGTTTCGATAACTGAAGTTGTTGGAGGTGGGCTTGAGGTCTCCTCTCTGCTCTCTGTAGGGGTTCCGCTGCTTGTTGGTGATGGGGCACTTTCTTCAGCTGAGGTCCCCTCTCCGCTCTTTGTGGATGTACCTGGAGTAGAGTGAGAAATCGTTGTTTTAGCTGCCGTCTTTCCTGTTTCGATAACTGAAGTTGTTGGAGGTGGGCTTGAGGTCTCCTCTCTGCTCTCTGTAGGGGTTCCGCTACTTGTTGATGATGGGGCACTTTCTTCAGTTGAGGTCCCCTCTACGCTCTTGCTGGATGTACCTGGAGTAGAGTGAGAAATCGTTGTTTCAGCTGCCGTCTTTCCTGTTTCGATAACTGAAGTTGTTGGAGGTGGGCTTGACGTCTCCTCTCTGCTCTCTGTAGGGGTTCCGCTACTTGTTGATGATGGGACACTTTCTTTAGCTGAGGTCCCCTCTCCGCTCTTGGTGGATGTACCTGGAGTAGGCTGAGAAATTGTTTCAGCTGCCGTCTTTCCTGTTTCGATAACTGAAGTTGTTGAAGGTGGCCCTGACGTCTCCTCTCTGCTCTCTGTAGGGGTTCCGTTACTTGTTGGTGATGCGGCACTTTTTTCAGCTGACGTCCCCTCTCCGCTCCTGGTGGATGTACCTGGAGTAGTGTGAGAAATCGTTGTTTCAGCTGCCGTCTTTCCCAGTTGGATAACTGAAGTTGTTGGAGGTGGGCTTGACGTCTCCTCTCTGCTCTCTGTAGGGGTTCCGCTACTTATTGGTGATGGGGCACTTTCCTCAGCTGAGGTGCCCTCTCCGCTCTTGGTGGATGTACCTGGAGTAGAGTGAGAAATCGTTGTTTTAGCTGCCGTCTTTCCCGTTTCGATAACTGGAGATAGTTGAGAAACTGTTGTTACATCAAGTGAGATATTAGGAGAATCATTAATGATAACGTTAAATACTGGGAAATTGTTTAAAGTCAAATAAACATAAAACTCTGATCCCAGAGGGATGTTCATTTTAACAAAGTATATAAAGATACTACGTTTCAATGTTTAATATTTTATTCAGAGTTATTTAGTAATCTCAAGGGCATCGTTTTTGTAGATACGGTGCCGTTTATTTTAGTAAAATAAAATTACCTTATTTGGATTATTTACAAAGGCATACAGTGTTTGCACTGATAATGCAGTCAGAAATTAAGCAGACTATTTTTAAAACAAGAATTAGAAATACTTCAGGATCACATGGGTTTTACCTCAATTCATACAATAAATATGTTGACTTATTAGTACCAATACTTCACCAGTTTTATGTAGAGATACTTAATAAAGGTATTTTATCAAGCTTATATTACAATTATACCCAAATCAGATGAAGACCACACATTTTGTACGAACGTTTGAGCTACATCACTAATAAACGCTGATATGAAGATTTTAACAACATCTTTTGCAAAGAGAATTTCTCAAGTAATATCAGTGATTATTGAAAATGACAAAACTGGCTTTATAAAAATGAAACTGGAAGCAGATAATATTGTTAGTGGTGGATTTGATAGATTTAAATAAAAATATTGATCTGTTTTTAATTCAATCACTAGATGCTGAAAAGGCTTTTGACAAAAAATAATAATAGTATATGGAAGTAGTTTTAACCAAATTGGGTTTCCTTTTGGATTTTATAAAATAGATTAAAGTAATTTATGACTCATCTATCTCTACAGATCATGTGGATCATTATGTCTGCCACCTTTCCACTGGCTAGGCAAGGACGCCCACTTTTACCTTCGTTTTTCAATTTTTGTTTACAACCCCTAGCTTGCGCTATTAGACAACATTGTGATGATGAGGATGATGATGATGATGATACCCAAACCCATCTGACTTGGTTGCCCCAGCCACTCTGGGCGTCTTCCAACATATATAAAAACATTACGCATTAACAGGTATTACACATTAAAAGGTGATTCACGGATGGGGCACTTTCTTCAGCTGAGGTCCCCTCTCCGCTCTTGGGGGATGTACCTGGAGTAGAGTGAGAAATCGTTGTTTCAGCTGCCGTCTTTCCCGTTTTGATAACTGAAGTTGTTGGAGGTGGGCTTGAGGTCTCCTCTCTGCTCTCTGTAGGGGTTCCGCTACTTGTTGATGATGGGGCACTTTCATCAGCTGAGGACCCCTCTCCGCTCTTGGGGGATGTACCTGCAGTAGAGTGAGAAATCGTTGTTTCAGCTGCCGTCTTTCCCGTTTCGATAACTGAAGTTGTTGGAAGTGGGCTTGACGTCTCCTCTCTGCTCTCTGTAGGGGTTCCGCTACTTGTTGATGATGGGGCACTTTCATCAGCTGAGGTACCCTCTCCGCTCTTGGGGGATGTACCTGGAGTAGAGTAAGAAATCGTTGTTTCAGCTGCAGCCTTTCCCGTTTCGATAACTGAAGTTGTTGGAGGTGGGCTTGACGTCTCCTCTCTGCACTCTGTAGGGGTTCCGCTACTTTTTGATGATGGGGCACTTTCTTCAGCTGAGGTCCCCTCTCCGCTCTTGGTGGATGTACCTGGAGTAGAGTGAGAAATAGATGTTTCAGCTGCCGTCTTTCCTGTTTCGATAACTGAAGTTGTTGGAGGTGGGCTTGACGTCTCCTCTCTGATCTCTGTAGAGGTTCCGCTACTTATTGATGATGGGGCACTTTCTTCAGCTGAGGTCCCCTCTCCGCTCTTGGTGGATGTACCTGGAGTAGGCTGAGAAATTGTTGTTTCAGCTGCCGTCTTTCCTGTTTCCATAACTGAAGTTGTTGGAGGTGGGCTTGACGTCTCCTGTCTGCTCTCTGTAGGGGTTCCGCTACTTGTTGATGATGGGGCACTTTCTTCAGTTGAGGTCCCCTCTACGCTCTTGCTGGATGTACCTGGAGTAGAGTGAGAAATCGTTGTTTCAGCTGCCGTCTTTCCCGTTTCGATAACTGAAGTTGTTGGAGGTGGGCTTGACGTCTCCTCTCTGCTCTCTGTGGGCGTTCCGCTACTCATTGGTGATGGGGCACTTTCCTCAGCTGAGGTCCCCTCTCCGCTCTTTGTGGATGTACCTGGAGTAGTGTGAGAAATCGTTGTTTCAGCTGCCGTCTTTCCTGTTTCGATAACTGAAGTTGTTGAAGGTGGCCCTGACGTCTCCTCTCTGCTCTCTGTAGGGGTTCCGTTACTTGTTGGTGATGCGGCACTTTTTTCAGCTGAGGTCCCCTTTCCGCTCCTGGTGGATGTACCTGGAGTAGTGTGAGAAATCGTTGTTTCAGCTGCCGTCTTTCCCAGTTGGATAACTGAAGTTGTTGGAGGTGGGCTTGAGGTCTCCTCTCTGCTCTCTTTAGGGGTTCCGCTACTTGTTGATGGTGGGGCAGTTTCCTCAGCTGAGGTGCCCTCTCCGCTCTTGGTGGATGTACCTGGAGTAGAGTGAGAAATCGTTGTTTTAGCTGCCGTCTTTCCCGTTTCGATAACTGGAGATAGTTGAGAAACTGTTGTTACATCAAGTGAGATATTAGGAGAATCATTAATGATAACGTTAAATACTGGGAAATTGTTTAAAGTCAAATAAACATAAAACTCTGATCCCAGAGGGATGTTCATTTTAACAAAGTATATAAAGATACTACGTTTCAATGTTTAATATTTTATTCAGAGTTATTTAGTAATCTGAAGGGCATCGTTTTTGTAGATACGGTGCCGTTTATTTTAGTAAAATAAAATTACCTTATTTGGATTATTTACAAAGGCATACAGTGTTTGCACTGATAATGCAGTCAGAAATTAAGCAGACTATTTTTAAAACAAGAATTAGAAATACTTCAGGATCACATGGGTTTTACCTCAATTCATACAATAAATATGTTGACTTATTAGTACCGATACTTCACCAATTTTATGTAGAGATACTTAATAAAGGTATTTTATCAAGCTTATATTACAATTATACCCAAATCAGATGAAGACCACACATTTTGTACGAACGTTTGAGCTACATCACTAATAAACGCTGATATGAAGATTTTAACAACTTTTGCAAAGAGAATTCCTCAAGTAATATCAGTGGTTATTGAAAATGACTAAACTGGCTTTATAAAAATGAAACTGGAAGCAGATAATATTGTTAGTGGTGGATTTGATAGATTTAAATAAAAATATTGATCTGTTTTTAATTCAATCACTAGATGCTGAAAAGGCTTTTGACAAAAAATAATAATAGTATATGGAAGTAGTTTTAACCAAATTGGGTTTCCTTTTGGATTTTATAAAATAGATTAAAGTAATTTATGACTCATCTATCTCTAGAGATCATGTGGACGGCATTATATCTGCCACCTTTCCACTGGCTAGGCAAGGATGCCCACTTTTACCTTCATTTTTCAATTTTTGTTTACAACCCCTAGCTTGCGCTATTAGACAACATTGTGATGATGATGAGGATGAGGATGATGACGAATATGATACCCACGCCCATCTGACTTGGTTGCCCCAGCCACTCTGGGCGTCTTCCAACATATATAAAAACATTACGCATTAACAGGTATTACACATTAAAAGGTGAAATGTGAGATTCACGGAGCAGTTGATATTAATGCAGTCGAATATAAATTGGTTTTATTTGCAAATGTTATTCATTTGTTCATTTCAAAGCCTCAAACTAGTATTCCTCCTTTTGTTGCAAACAGTGGAATGCTTTTGGTAAAATATCAGGGAATTCCATTAACTGGTCCAAATCAGACCAGACTGGTGCCAATTAAGTAAAGAAGAGATTATTCCTTCACTTAAGGAATATCAATTCTGTTTGCTCTGAGTCTATTAAATATATAGATATCTAAAGAAGTTTCTTTAGAAAACGACAGATGGGAGTCATTAAACTTTACCTTATAGGAAAGGATGCACACACTCAAAATGAATATTATTCCCACATCTATATTCTGAGAGGACTGCCATTTTTTATATCTGGAACATATTTCCAAAAGATAAACTCCCTATTTAGGAAATGTCTTTGGGGCCTAACAACGCTCAGAATATCTGTGCAGAAAATGAAGACGCTCCAAGCACCCAATTTTCCAGGGACAGTCCCAAATTTACAGAAGGTGTCCCGGTTTCTTATTTGATCCCGGAATATCCCGCTTTTCCTTAGGACATTCCTATTTTCTTCAGATAAATGTTGGAGGGTGTGGAGTTATCCACCCCCCAAGCCATCTGAAGTTTTTTATTTCTATTTTTATTTCAAACAATTCTTAAAACGTTTTTTTAAAATGTTTATTGTTTTATTATGTTTTTATATATGCTGGAAGCCGCCCAGAGTGGCTGGGGCAACCCAGTCAGGTGGGTGGGGTATAAACAGCAAAATTATGGGATAGGACGTCCCTGTTTCCATCAGATACATTTTGGAGGGTATGGAAAAGGCCGTTGCAAATTAAAGAAGCGGGTTGGGCTAGATGACCCTCAAGGTCCCTTCCAACTGTACGATTCCAAGTTTTTCATGCCTGTTCATTACAATGGGTCTACTCTGAGTAGGGACTTTGTTGGCTGCAACCCTTTGTGCCTCCCCCTCTTCTCCACCCCAGCCCTCTCCACTTTGCAGGGATGACTCAGGGAGCCTGTGACTCACATTCACACACACACACACACACACACACACACACACACACACACACAGACCTGGTTGCCTAGCAACGGCATAGCGGCTGGATCCTTGACCAAACTCTCTTTGAACTTTTAAGCCTCTCTCTTTTGTCCCTGCCGCTCTTTTGCTCGTCCCTTCAAGTTAAGCAAACAAGTGCCCAGCCTTGCACAAGTCCTGCAGTGAAGGGCCTCGTGCTACATTGCAGAGGATAGCCAGGATACAGCCCTCCGGACGACCCTGGACTACAGATCCCATCGTCCCTGCCCTACAGCTGTGCTGGCTGATGGGAGTCGGAGTCCAACAAAATCGGGAAGGCCACAAGTTCCCCATCCAGTAGGATTACACACATTCTCAGTCGGTAGAGCATGAAACTCTTAATTTCAGGGTCGTGGGTTCGAGTTCCATGTGGGACAAAAGATCCCTGCATTGCAGTGGGTTGGGCTAGATGTCCTTTAGGATCCCTTCCAGCTCTACTGTTATGTATTCAGTGGTCTGTGTTTGCCTGGACTAAGGACTCTGAGCTCCTGTGTTCTGATTCGATACATGATATCCAATCACAGAACATGTCAGGATTTGGGCCTCTGCCATTGGCCCTTGAACTCTGAGTCACGATTCGCAGCTTGGATGTTTAGGCAGCCAATCACGTTGGGAGGGGGAGTGGCCCAGGCCTTCTGAAATGTATATAAGCAGTTGCTTTGCCCCTGTTGTCCAGTTCTGTTAGTTCAATAAAGGTTCTTGCTGTTATCACTGGGTTTTGCCACTGATAAATAATCTTTTTGTCCTGGGGGAGGGGAAGGGGGCTGGGATGGATATACAGCAAATGCCTGAGCCAAAAATCTACCCATATTTGAAAATCAATAAAGTTGTGGCCATTTCTAATCCAGATCATTGTCTGCTTGAGTTTATTAATCACGTTTTACATTTAGCCACTGCGGGCAGCACTGCGACTGGGCCCACAATAAACAAGCAAGCAAACAAATTTTGTGGTGAGTTCCCCCACCTTCTTTTTTTAAAAAAGCACTGATTATTGTTGTTGTTTTGGAAAAGGAAGTCCCTATTTTTATCAGAGAAATGTTGGACTGTATGTAAGATCTGGACTGTCTCCATCCCTACTCAGGTGTAAATATGTGCACAAGTCATATTTCTTGAAGCTACAACAGCCTCTGCTGTGTCTTGATTCTCAAGGGAACATAGACCCCTAAAAAAACCACCTGTGGAATTTTGCCACCGCTCAGCAGAAAGTGCGGAGGGGGACAACTTTTGCAACACTATTTTCAGGGAACGAAAGGGAGTGATGTAACACCAGTTTTAATCTCCTGAGATCAGCAGAGGGATGTCCCTGCGATGAAGAAACATTCTTTCTCTGCCCCTTAGTAGAGATTATAATCTATATTTTTGGAGTCCATGGGTTTAGAGTAGAACAGAGTGTGCGGAGGAAAATGCAGATCTACGTGCAGAAACAGCCACACGGCTCCCCAGGGAAAGGAAGGCCTTTAAAAACCATCGTTTTATTTGACTGGGAATTCCTGTTTGTAGTAGGCAAACACCTGAGCATCGGAAAATTCAGATCAGCCAAAGCAAAGTACTCCTTCCCACAGCACACACGGAAAATATTTAATAAAAACTAATTTTTAAAAAGGAGGTTTGTTGTGGTTTGCTCAAAGGAGCTCCTCTGTTTATATATCTCGGCATTGTTTCAACCGCTCTGTTTCCAAAACACCAAAGAAGTCACAGATACCGTGAAGCTTCACTACCCGACAAGTTGGCAGAGGAACACCAAACGGGGAAACCCGTTTCTAATTGCCTTTTATGCTTTGGGTTTCCTCTCCTTTCCCCACCTCCGTCCCAAAGGTCGCATTGCACAGGTGAGTGAAACACAGGTGAGCTGACTCATACAGCCCCATCGCTCCATCCAGCTCCTTGGCTTATTTATTCATTTATACATTTTCCAGTTTTCTGCTTGTACTTCATACATTTCCATTTCCGATGGTTACTCTACGGCAGGGCTCAGCAAACTTTTTCAGCAGGGGGCCGGTCCACTGTCCCTCAGACCTTGTGGGGGGCCGGACTATTTTTTTTTTGGGGGGGGGATGAACGAATTCCTATGCCCCACAAATAACCCAGAAATGCATTGTAAATAAAAGCACACATTCTACTCATGTAAAAACACCAGGCAGGCCCCACAAATAACCCAGATGCATTTTAAATAAAAGCACACATTCTACTCATGTAAAAACATGCTGATTCCTGCACCATCCGCGGGCCAGATTTAGAAGGCGATTGGGCCGGATCCGGCCCCTGGGCCTTAGTTTGCCTACTCATGCTCTATGGACTTCCCAAGCCACCACTCCATGGCATTTTATATAAGCCTTCTTTTCCTGCAAATCACCCTATTTCCTCCCATCAATTCCTTTGTTATTATTACCTGTTGGTCATAATTATTCCTACTTGTAGGTTAATTTTGGTGCCATATCTCTTTAAATACTCTCCAAAAAATAATAATAATTCACTCATCTCTTAGCTGCTTCTCATCCTGATTCCTTATTTCTGCTGTCATATTTGCTAGATTTACTTCTTCTATCAGTTTATTCAGCCATTGTTCTTTGGTTGGAATTTTACTTTATTTCCATATTCTGGCATATACTATCCTGGCAGCTGCGGTTGCATAAAGAAATAGACTGAGTGCTTGCTTTGAAATCGCATCATCTATTATACCCAGGAAGAAGGCGTCGTTGTTTTTTTTTTAAAGAAACATAGATTTAAATGTCTTTTTAAATTCCACATAGACCATCTCCCAATAATTTTTGGCCTATTTACACAACCATCCATTGTGGTCATTGTTATTGGCACTGACTGGCAACAAACTTTAAGTACAGCAGAAGCAGCTGGGAAGGGAGAAGAGGAAATAGTTTTATAAGTTTTATATGTGAAGACCACAATGGGGTTTGAAGTGTAGGAAAACGACAATATATATTAAGAAACATGTTTGAGAGGGTGAAATTAGATAAGGAGGAAACTTAGAAACGTAAGAGTTGGAAGGGACCTCAAGAGTAATCAGGTCAAGCTCCCTGCAACGCAGGAATCTCAGCTAAAGCACTCGTGACCGAGGGTATAGGCAAAGCTGTCAACTTTTCCCTTTTCTTGCGAGGAATCCTATTCGGAATAAGGGAATTTGCCTTTAAAAAAGGGAAATCTTGACAGCTATGGGTATAGGTGTGGGTAAAAGGGTAAAGGGACCCCTGACCGTTAGGTCCAGTCACGGGTGACTCTGGAGTTGCGGTGCTCATCTTGCTTTATTGGCCGAGGGAGCCAGCATACAGCTTCCGGGTCATGTGGCCAGCATGACTAAGCCGCTTCTGGCGAACCAGAGCAGCGCACGGAAACGCCGTTTACCTTCCCGCTGGAGCGGTACCTATTTATCTACTTGCACTTTGACGTGCTTTCGAACTGCTAGGTTGGCAGGAGCAGGGACCGAGCAAGGGGAGCTCACCCCGTCGCTGGGATTCAAACCGCCAACCTTCTGATTGGCAAGCCCTAGGCTCTGTGGTTTAACCCACATCGCCACCCACGTCCTATAGGTGTGGGAGGGAGCCTTAAAACGCAACTGTATATACAGTGGTACCTCGGGTTAAGAACTTGGTTCATTCCGGAGGTCTGTACTTAACCTGAAACTGTTCTTAACCTGAAGCACCACTTTAGCTAATGGGGCCTCCTGCTGCCGCTGCGCCGCCTGAGCACAATTTCTGTTCTTAACCTGAAGCAAAGTTCTTAACCTGAAGCACTATTTCTGGGTTAGCAGAGTGTGTAACCTGAAGCGTATGTAACCTGAAGCATAGGTAACCCGAGGTACCACTGTATCCATGTTGGAGGGTATGGAGTTATCTGACCCTCGAGTGAAGGTTTTTTTTAATATTTAACGTTTTGTTATGTTTTTATATATGTTGGGAGCCACCCAGAGTGGCTGGGCCAGCCCAGTCAGATGGGCAGGGTATTAATAATTAATAATAAATGATTAATGATTAATAATAATTGAATATGGGATGCAGGTGGTGCTGTGGTTGCAATCAGACTAGATCCTACTCAGAGCAGACCTATTGGAACTAATGCATCTAAGTCAGCAATGCCCATTTATTTCAATGGGTCTACTCTGAGGGTGGCTGACATGGGCTACACCCCTATGGTCGCAGACAGCCGGTTGTTTGAATCCACACACGTGCAGGGACATTTTTTAAAGCCTAGCCCAGAGACCTGTGGTTACCAGAAGACTAACAAATCAGTGTGTTTATTGCGTTCTTTTCAGTTCTGCTTCATTACACCTGGAGGATTTATAACATTCCGGAGGGCACTTGATTTATTTGCGAATTGCATTTCCTTATCTGATGGGCTCTTTGCCAGCGGATGGACTGAGGAAATGGAGGGTTGAAGGGCTCTCTCCCTGGGCAGTCTCGGACCCGTCTGCAAAATGGGAACATTAAAACACACACACATGCAAAAACAAACAAACCATTCAACATTTTGCCCTTCCAAGAAGGTGGAAGGGTTGTAGCTCAGTAGCAGGACCCCTGCTTGGCATTCAGAAGGTCCCAGGTTCAAGGCTTCCCTGCCTGAAACTGTGCACAGCCACCACCAACCAGCCACTATGGAGCTAAATGGGGCAATTGGTCCAACTCAGTATCAAACAGCTTCCTTTAGTCCTTACAATCACGAGGTCTGGAAACTTGGTTTTGTTTATGGTTTAGAGGTAGAGTGCCTGCTTTGCATGCAGAAGGTCCTAGGGATTCTCAGGGGCATCTCCAGGCAGGGGTGGTGGTGCTGGGGAAAGACTCTGCCAGAAACCCCGTAGAGAGCTGCTGCCAGCCAGAGTAGACAACGCTGGGCTAAATGGATCAGTCCCCTGGCTCCGTCCAATGGTCTCACACAGATATGGAAGGGCAAATTTATCAAACACCGTGGCACAAATACTTAGGTTTGGATGGGATTCCAAGGAACCTTTGCTGTTCGTACAGCACATGGGCAAGTGCCCGAGGGAAGTCTGTAACAACCTTTTGCAGACTTGAAACAAACATTATTCTAATGAGAGGATCCAATTCACTCCCCAGTCTCCGGCTTTCAAAGATGCAATTCCGCAGGCTGAATTCCGCAGAATTCTGCAGAAGGGAAAGCTGCAAAATCTGGATGTTCACTGACCCAAGAGGAGCTAACTTCTTCCCTTCCCACCTTTATTATTTTCTCCAGAGAGAAAATGTTGTCCAATTCATTCCCCATTCTCCTTTCAGAATTCAGCAGGAGGGAATTCTGCAAAATCCGGGTGTTTGTTGATCCAAGAGGATCAGATGTTTTCCTTCCTGCAGGATTTTCTCCAGGGAAACATATCAAGGGCAGATTTAAGAACCAGGAGTCAAACAGATGTTATTTTCACTTCTCAACATCTCCCACTGTTGCCTTTCTTTCCCCATGACCAGACCCCACTGCAAACTCTCCAACACAATCCCCTGAAACAAGTTTGCGCCACATGGGATACAGCCCAGTCAACAAACTGCTAAGCTCCCTGTCTTGGGTGCCTTCAGAAAGAAGTCATAGAATCATAGAATTGCAGAGTTGAAAGGGACCCTGGGGGCCATCTAGTCCAACCCCCTTGCAATGCAGGAATATGCAGCTGTCCCTTACGGGGATCGAACCTGCAACCTTGGCGTTATCAGCACCACACTCTAACCAACGGAGTCCTCCAAGACTTCTGTGTCCCCTTAGCATTTCTGCGCCTCTTCTGCAGCGTTGTGTGGGTTGCCTCAATGGTTGCAACCAAAGAATTAGCCATTTGGGGAAGGGTAGGAGGCATGGAGAAAGACCCTACCTGGTGCTGCCCACAGGTGGTAGGAAACCATCAAGATGATAAATATATTCCTGAGAAAATGCTGGACTGAGTGGCGCCTCCAGTCCATCTTCCAAGGCCTCTGAGATCAGCTGTCCCCCACGTCTGCCCTTGCAAGCCTTCCAAGTACGGTGGACGCATCTAATGCCAGGGACGGCGGATCTATGAGCTTAAGAGGCTGCCACACCCTCAGCAAAGGCATCAATCAATGGCAGAACCCAACCCTTACCTGAAAAAAGGAGCGATTTCATAACATTGTAAGACAGCTCAACCGTATCTCAAGACATCGGACCCAACGGGAAAGGTCTCGTTAAATGGCCAGCCTCAGCAAATATTATTTTTGCGGTTAATGAGGGGAGTGGGGAGGAACGAAAAAATCACAGGGAGAGAGACCTGGGGTTTCCAGCCTAATTAACGCACTCGGTCAACAGCGGATGCCCCACACCTGTTGCGGGGGGGAGGACAAAAGCTGGTTTTTGGGACCGTGTTGTGAGGGGCGCTATGCGTTTTTCAATTAAAGTCCCCCCCCCCTCGGTACTGCATAGCTGTATCCGGCCTTGTTTGTGAAAGTTGTTTCGCAAGAAGATTCTCAGTTTTGGAGGACTTCTGGGGCAAGGTGAAGTTTTCATCCGGTGCCATTTCGTGCGGATTTCCATCTCCTTGGATGCCTGGTTCCACGCAGATTTCCAGTTCCGTGAGAATTTCCTGTCGATCAGGGATTTTGTATGTACGCGGGGAAGGGTTTGCATTGGTGGTTGGTGGTTTTCTCCTACTTATGAGAGGACAAGAGGCCGGAATCAGGGGAAACTCCTCTCCAAAGTCGCAGGTTTTTTGTTGGCAAACAAAGAAAGTGGGCAGGATTCAAAAGAGACGCAACCTTCTTATTTATGCCATGTGTCAAAACCAAAACAAATCATTATTCGCCAGGTGTGACAGATTGTAAGAATGTTTTTTTCTTGAAATCTTCGGTGTTTGGGGTTCTTTTGTCCATCCTGAAGGTGTAAACAAACTCAGGGTTTATCACCAATTAAGATCTTCTCAGGGTAAAAAGGTAAAGGTACCCCTGACCGTTAGGTCCAGTCGCGGACGACTCTGGGGTTGCGTGCTCATCTCACGCTATAGGCCAAGGGAGCCGGCGTACAGCTTCCAGGTCATGTGGCCAGCATGACTAAGCCACTTCTGGCAAAATTAAAGAGACCCAAGGCAGTGGGTCTCTTTCAGTGGGTCTACTGTGAGTATGGCTACCATTGGATAAAACCCTCTACTTCTTCAATGGGTCGTACCCACAGGGATTCAAGTATAAGAGATCATAGAATCATAGAATCATGGAAGAGACCCCAAGGGCCATCGAGTCCAACCCCCTGCCAAGCAGGAAACACCATCAGAGCACTCCTGACATATGGTTGTCAAGCCTCTGCTTAAAGACCTCCAAAGAAGGAGACTCCACCACACTCCTTGGCAGCAAATTCCACTGTCAAACAGCTCTTACTGTCAGGAAGTTCTTCCTAATGTTTAGGTGGAATCTTCTTTCTTGCAGTTTGGATCCATTGCTCCGTGTCCGCTTCTCTGGAGCAGCAGAAAACAACCTTTCTCCCTCCTCTATGTGACATCCTTTTATATATTTGAACATGGCTATCATATCACCCCTTAACCTCCTCTTCTCCAGGCTAAACATGCCCAGCTCCCTTAGCCGTTCTTCATAAGGCATCGTTTCCAGGCCTTTGACCATTTTCCAGGCCTTTGACCATCAGCTGTAGTGGCTGCCAGTAGTGAATATTCATCATTATAGCAAACAAGTTTTGAGGGAGAGGTTTGTGTGATGCAGATCCTTTTCCAAATAATAGGAGAACCAAAGCGCAGCCATCGTCGGAAAACTGTCGGCCGTTGGAAACAGCGTTTGGGTGGTAATCACTTCAATGTCTTGGAAAACCCAACAAATTCAGCGGCCAGTTGCTCACCGGGGCAAAATGGTTTGAGCATATTGCACTGATCCTGGCCCGACTGCAGGGGATGCCAATCAGTTTCTGGGCCCAATTCAGAGTGCTGGTTTCGACCTATAAAGCCATGGGTAGGCAAAGTAAGGCCCGGGGGCCAGATCCAGCCCAATCACCTTCTAAATCCAGCCCGTGGACGGTCCGGGAATCAGTGTGTTTTTACATGAGTAGAATGTGTGCCTTTATTTAAAATGCATCTCTGGGTTATTTGTGGGGCATAGGAATTCGTTCATTCCCCCCCCCATGTAGTTCGGCCCCCCACAAGGTCTGCAGGACAGTGAACCGGCCCCCTGCTCAAAAGGTTTGCTGGCCCCTGTATAAAGCCTTAAATGGCTCAGGACTGCAATACCTGAAGGATTCTGTTAAAACATTAAAACATAGCATTAAAAGCAACTTATAAAAATAAGATGGGTGCTAAAAACACATACGGTGGTGCCTCGCAAGACGAAATTAATCCGTTCCACGAGTCTCTTCGTCTTGCGGTTTTTTCGTCTTGCGAAGCACGGCTATTAGTGGCTTAGCGGCTATTAGCGGCTATTAACGGCTTAGCGGCTTTAAGAAAAAGGAAACAAACTCGCAAGAACTCGCAAGACGTTTCGTCTTGCGAAGCAAGCCCATAGGGAAATTCGTCTTGCGGAACGACTCAAAAAACGCAAAACCCTTTCGTCTAGCGAGTTTTTCGTCTTGCGAGGCATTCGTCTTGCGGGGCGCCACTGTACCTCAAGTGCCAAACGTCAGGGGAAAGAGGTCTTCAGCGTTCTCCAGAAGCTGTATAAGTGAAGCTGCCAGGCGGACCTCTGGCGGGGAGGAAGTTCTGCAGTTGAGGGCCCACCACAGAGAAGGCCTCCTCCTGGGGCAGTTTATCCCCCAACCCAAGTCTCTGAGGATGGAGGAAATACTAGGAGGGTCCCCTCTGCTGATCTCTGCACCTGAGAGGGTCTGGGGGGAAGAAGGTGTCCTTTCAGGTATTTCATTCACCATTATCAATCTTCTTCACTGAGAACCAAACCCGTTCCTGGATAAGATTCCACAGAGACCCTGGACAGATGGAGCTTGAAAATCAGCTTAATAATAATAATAATAATAATAATAATTTATTTGTATCCCATGTCTCTGATTGGGTTGTTCCAGCCACTCTGGGTGGCTTCCAACTCATATAAAAACATAATAAAACCTTAAACTTTAAACAGCCTGACACCCTCCTTTGGCAATCCTCACAGAACTCTAGCCCAATGGTTGCCATTAATCTGATTTGAATTAATTTTATAATAAAATGATTTTAGAATGTTTTATCATTTTACTGTTCTTAGCCGCTCTGAGCCTGGCTTCGGCTGGGATATAAATAAAAATTATTATTATTATTATTATTATTATTATTATTATTATTATTATTACTACTACTATTATTATTATTATTATACAGTACAGGGCTGCCTTCAGATGTCTTCTAAAAATTGTGTAGTTCTTTATCTCCTTGACATCTGATGGAAGGACATTCCACAGGGAGGGTGCCATCACCGAGAAGGCCCTCTGCCTGGTTCCCCATAATCTCACTTCTCACAGTGAGGGAACCGACAGAAGGCCCTCAGAGCTGGACCTCAGTGTCTGGGCTGAACGATGGGGGTGGAGACGCTCCTTCAAGTATATTGGGCGGAGGCTGTTTAGGGCTTCAAAGGTCAGCACCAACACTTCGAATTGTGCTTGGAAATGGACGGGAGCCAGTGAAGATCCTTTAGGACTGGAGTTATATGGTCCTGGCCGCTGCTCCCAGTCACGAGTCTGACTGTCTCATTCTGGGTTAGTTGCAGTTTCCGAGTCACCTTCAAAGGTAGCCCCACGGAGAGCGCATTGCAGTAGTCTAAGCGGGAGATAACCAGGGCATGCACCACTCTGGCAAGACAGGGAGCAGGCCAGCAGGGTCTCAGATGGAGCTGGTAGGCAGCCGTCCTGGACACAGAATTGACCTGCGCCTCCATGGACAGCCCTGAGTCCAACAAAATGGCCCCCAGGCTGCACACCTGGTCCTTTAGGGTCACAGTGGCCAGGGAGTCCCCCCCCCCACCTGCTTGGATCTGTTTGCAGGGTGAGCAAACACGAAGAGAAAAAGCATTTCAGAAATACTTGCCACTCGCCCAGAGAGAGCTGGCAGGGGCCAGGCGGGGTTTCCCCATCATCTGCATCGCCTGTGCCAAGCCCCTTATGCGCAGCTGGTTGCATCTTATGGCGCCATTGTGTGCTATCTTAATTCACGGCCGCCTGATCCAGGAATCTTTCCAGTTAGAACTGCCCTCAGGACGTCACGGTTTCGATGCAAAATAAAAATAAAACACCCTGGCAAGATTTTTAAAAAAAACCACACACACACGAAATACATAACAAAAACAAGAACAAAAAGAAACCAATAACTCGCTTGGTTGTTAAACAAAACAAATGAACTCATTGGGGAGCCCCCAGGCAGGAGCTGAGCACAATTGAAGCAAATGTCCCCACTTAAGATTCTCAGCAAATTGGCATTCCAAGGAATTTACCTCCTCCAAAAATGAAGGGGGGACATAGTCCTTGTGGTTTCCTCCTGTGGTTTCCCTGATCTAAGAATCATAACAGTCTCCAACAGTGGCCAATAGAATCATAGAATCCTAGAGTTGGAAGAGACCCCAAGGGCCATCGAGTCCAACCCCCTGCCAAGCAGGAAACACCATCAGAGCACTCCTGACATATGGTTGTCAAGCCTCTGCTTAAAGACCTCCAAAGAAGGAGACTCCACCACACTCCTTGGCAGCAAATTCCACTGTCAAACAGCTCTTACTGTCAGGAAGTTCTTCCTAATGTTTAGGTGGAATCTTCTTTCTTGCAGTTTGGATCCATTGCTCCGTGTCCGCTTCTCTGGAGCAGCAGAAAACAACCTTTCTCCCTCCTCTATGTGACATCCTTTTATATATTTGAACATGGCTATCATATCACCCCTTAACCTCCTCTTCTCCAGGCTAAACATGCCCAGCTCCCTTAGCCGTTCCTCATAAGGCATCGTTTCCAGGCCTTTGACCAGTTTGGTTGCCCTCCTCTGGACACGTTCCAGTTTGTCAGTGTCCTTCTTGAACTGTGGTGCCCAGAACTGGACACAGTACTCCAGGTGAGGGC